GAACCACAGCAGATTAAAAGTTTATCAAAATAATAAAAATCTCAGAACCGCAATTAATCTGACTAATGTTAGTCACCAGTCGCAATCACTATCAATTACCACAACTAGCATGGTCGTCGTTCTTTTCCATGGCTGTTCTTAGTCACTTGCTAGCCTGCTAGATAATAAAAAAATATTATTTTTTTATGATCGTCTGAGTGAAATTGTTTTGTTTATGCGGTCATATGATTTCCTTTGACGTAACATATGAAATAAAGTTAATAAACTTATTATTTGTACCAAGAATAAAGTAGCTAATACACAGCTCGGGATTTCTACTACCGGATTTTATCAGAAGAATTAAGTTAGCATGGAGTACTTATGGAAGAAACTCAATCATATTTAAATCTAGAATGCCTCTTTATCTAAAGAAGAGAACATTCGACCAATGTGTGCTACCAGTCATGACCTATGCATGCGAAACCTGGACACTTAAAACGCACATCATAGGGAAACTGTAGGTCGCACAACGCTCATTGGAACGAAATATACTAGGAATAACCAAGAGAAACCGTAAAAGAATAGAGTGGATACGACAAAAGACCCAGGTAATAGATGTCATCCACAGAATCAATTCCTTTAAGTTGCAATGGGCAGGACACCTGGCGAGAAGGACAGACAACAGATGGACCACAAAAACTACAGCATGTAGAATGTAGAATGAGTAAGAGTAATCTATTGTGCTCCCCTTCCTTGAGTCATCACACAGTCTATAACCCATCATACCTCTGTTGTAGAGGGAACAGGGTATTTCCCATCCTCCTCTGACAACAGTTCTTCCTCGGAGGGTACACACCTTCCACGGTTGGAGTTTGGCCCTCCATGCCGCCCTTCACAGTCGAGGAGTTTGCCTCTGGCTGAGGAACCCGTGAGGTGGAGGCTGGAGGATCTGTCTCCATTTTCTCCACCTCTTTAACTTGGTCTCTCCTTAGGCCTGATACCGGTGTTGTCCCGTATCTATAATAGAGGATATGTCCCTCTTTCTCTATTGCCTCCTTGGATTTGAGGTCAATTCCTATTGTGAGGACCTGACCATGACCCTCCTCCCTCGAGTTGATGACTCGCCAACTCGATGTCCTTACACTGAAGTTCTGACCCTGGATACGGCTCAGCAGGTAGGTGGTGTCTTTCCCCTTGCTCCTCGGCAGAAAGACCGTGATGGCCGCCCCTTTAGAGATGTTTTCTCCCTTCACTGCAACCAGTTCTGGCCCTTGCCAATTTTTAAGCTTAGGTGCGATTTCCACCAACCAATTCGCCGATTCTTGGATACACTATGAGGATCATACCCACCCGAAAGTGTATCCCCGCAAAACGCAGCTGACCCACATTTTGTAGATCGTTGTGTTGCGATCCGATCGCCACTGCTTCGTCCAGTATAGCCTCTTCTAGAGACGTTTGCTGGTCGGTGGTCAGAGCAACCTCTGGGAAATCCTTTGGCAGCTCCGCCATTTTCACTTGTCCAGCAGTAGCGGCAAAGCTGGTGATACGTCCCTGCTTACCTCCCGGTGTTGGACGACTTTCCATCCTGGATTTTTTCTCTCCCTGCCGGAGAAGAGGTGAGAGGTTCTCGCCCCCTCTCTTGCCTTTTGATGGATATGAGTCAGGTTGTTTCTTGGTTTCTTTACTCTCCCTTTTTCGGAGGAGTGTTTTGCTTTTGCTTCCTCTGGAGCAAGCCCTTCGTGGAGCAGTCGGAGGTATCTCCGTGCTTCTGCTCCGCTAAGACCTACTCTCAGAGGATCGTCTAGCCCGCCTGGTTGACCCAGGCCGGGTAGACGAAACGGTGGCTTGTGTCGCTTATTAAAAAAAAACTACAGCATAGTACCCACGAGAAATCAAGAGACCTAGAGAAAGACCAACCTTGAGAAGGGACCATGATATTAGGAAATTATCAGGGATAACTTGGATCCGCACAGCCAACAATAGACAGCAATGGGCCCATTACAACCAAACTACAAAGAGAGTATCTAAATATGTGAGGGAGGCAACACCATAATTAGAAATGGCTGAAAACTATACATTTACAATTAAATCATAACAAATATAGTCATTTATACGGAACTCTCTAAGGCTCTGGTAGTAATATTTACTTAAAAAAGAAATATCTTGGGTTCTTAACATATTCTCTATTGCAAAGTGAGTGAAAGAAAATCACCATTCATATCGCGCGGTGCTAAATCTGGTCGATGGAACGGACAACGGCTGCAGTATTATCGGTCGGATAGTTTGAATGGGTTGTTGTTTCTGCAGGTATAGGAAAAAACAATCGGCAACAGAAACGAAAGTAAAAGGTCGACTGTGAGTGGCCTTGCCGCGGCCGCAGCGGAGTCTATTAATAGCCGTTTTCGTGGAAAAAGGCTGCTGGGAATTTTTATCTAACGAGGATTTCCGGATTTTGCAAAGCTGCTATTGGTTGAGCGCGCGTCGTTGGCGGTATCTAGCACATTGTGCCTTCATTGAGGATAGTGCAGTGCCTAGATCATATACAGAGATTGTCACTGGGTTAGCGTGCATTCGAAGTTCTTAGGAAACGAGAGGTTTTAAGAGTATTATGCTGTACTGTTCGAGTCGCCCTCAGCGGGTAAAGCTGTTTTTTGCTTGTTAGTGCCATAAACAATGAATAATATCCAATATGCGGATGACACCATGATCTGGGCAGATAATGCCAATCTTTCTAGATCTGAATATGATATTTTCCCATTATTTATTGTTGAATTTCTGGTCAATAATGTCTAATATGTCCCTCATTTGCAATGGACATCGATTATTACAAATAAGCTATAAGCATGCGTGACGTGAGCTGTCCCTATTATCACAGATTAGGTATCCTATAAGTATACAGATAAAAATCTTGTCCCTAATTCGTGGTACGAATTTTTTTTTTTATGACGATGTGCAAACGAATCAAATTTCCTGTGCGCAAAAATAAATCCGCGTAAAATAACAATAAACAGCGTAATAGAGAGATATCGCTAAACCGAATAGCGTGCATGGACGTTAATAAGGCCATTGTTAGGTGTTATTTCCTTTACGTGAGATGGTATTAACTCTCTTCATTTATAGTTATCGGATCGGAAAGAATTCTGATCGCGTCGCGTCCGCTATTTAAACTTAACCTAACTTTGAATTTAAAACTTTGAAATTGTTTTGTTTACTAGGTATTTTAAAACTAAAGGGCTAAAAGGGCTTTCCAGTGCTTTATTGTTCAACGTCTGCCAGTGGGTTTAGGGCAACAAGCAACAAATTCTCTTTGAAGGGCTATCGTAATCTGCTGTAAACCTAAGACTCTTTATAGGTTCTTTAGTATGGAAAGAGGTGGAATCCATATTTTGGGCCATATTTATTTAATTAAAACTAATCCCAGCTACTTAAATATCAAATTACCTAATAAAACTAAAGCAATAATTCAAAACAATTCAAGCATAACCTAAAATAAAAGATCTCGCCGGCCGGCTCCGGTTGTCAAATACCCGCACATGCCCATTTAAGCAATTTTTAAACGTTATCAGAGGTTATTTAGAAAGAGCGCTTGGTGTAATTGATCCGCAAATTACGTCAGGCGGTAACGTTATTAGCGGGTGTTGCGTTAAAAATTGACTCGCGCATGTCGTAACCATGATATAAGGTACGCGTAAATACTGGATGACGCTATTCGGTTTTCCGATATCTCGCTAATAACTGTGCCGGTCAGACGCTGTGCACAATTTTAGAGGCCATAAGTGGGCGTGCTATGTGCGCAAACTAGTCACCTAACTAGTGCCCGATTCCGAAAATTGGAACCACGAAAAACAATAAAGAAAAACCAAAGATTATAATCTGTATAATCTGTGCTATTATATTCTGTATAATTTTTTTCCTTGGATTTTTTCGATATTTTAATAGTTTTGATTGATTGTTTTATTATATATTGATTTGTTTACAAATCAGAGATCAATAAAATCGGTCCAGCTGTTCTTGAGTTATTATAATGCTGTAACTATTCCGATTTTGTTGATTTATTTAGATTTATTAATTATTCAATTATTGCTTAATATGTCATTGTATTCTACAGGGTGTAGGTAGTGATGTCACGAGAGGTCAACGTTCCATAGATATTGGTATAATGGCATAATATATCAGCATAGAATATGTAAATGAACTAATTTTAAAATTGGGTCACTTGTAAAATAATTATATTAATCTATTTAAATCAGATGAGGTGACGATTATACTTAAAATTAATGGATTCTACTTGGTGTATAGGTATTTTTTTTTCAATAAAAAAAGCTTTAAAAAGGTTCTCTTTCTGGATACTTTGTAAATATATTTATGATTATAGTTCAAGAAAATAGGCCTTCAAATACGAAATTTTGGTAAAAATCCGAATTTTTAGCCGTCCATCTGTCTGTCCGTCTGTAACACGATAACTCAAAAACCGCTGAACCGATTTTAACCAAATTTGGCACAAAAATACTGTGGCACCCGAGAATCTGGCTATTAGTTTTTTGTGGAGGTGGGGAGTTGGTAAGGGAGTATGGGAGGGGGTTAAAAATTTTAAAAAATCGTAACTCCAAAATTACAGTAGTTAGCGAAACGCGGTTTTCAAATTAAGATTAGGAATAATATTTGCAACAAAATTTGTAATAACATTAAAATCAGTCAAAGTCACAGTTTTTGAGATAAAAAAAATTGGAAAAATTCCTTTACTTTGAAACTAAAAGAACTGCCTACCAACTTTTTATTAACATATTTTAGTATGGGCGGCTATACGTGCCTCCCGGCGCCAATTTTTTTATTTAAGTGGTTTGTTGACCATCAAAATCTTAAAAATAGAGAAGTTGTCTAAAAATGTGCAACAATACGGATATAGTATAATCCTTTATCTTTAGTTTCCTTCTTCATTTGTGGTAAAAATACCTAACCAGTTTTACATAAAACGTTAAATGCCGAACGCTTATCCTATTAATAATTTGTTTTTGTTACAGCGACGACCGCACGTCGTCCCTCTCCGAAACGATGAAAATCGGCGCCTTCGCCGACAGGAAAAAGAAACACTTCGAAGAACCGCAGCTCGACCTGCCCTTCTGCACCTTCTTCGCCGACAGGATCTCCCTAAACGACCACCAGGTGGACAGCGAGCCTCAGAGCCTGGCAACGTCGCCCGAGAACGACCGGCTGAGCGGCAACGGCGTCCCCGAAGAATCGCCGTTGCGCGGGGAGGGGGAGAAGAACGGAAATGACGTAGCGGTGGAGGGAGGAAAGCAACAGGAGGAGGTGTCGATGGCGTCGACGGGAGACGACTTTATCATGGTAGACTTGGTAATTTTTCTTTTTGGCTGATTTTTTGCTTATTTCTGTCTTTTTTTCTTTGTTGTTTTGTGTGATTAATTTTGTTGAGGGCGATAATGTATAAATCAGGGTTGGAAAAATTAAACTGATATTAGTGTCAAATTCAACGAGGGTACAAAAATTGTTGCTCGATATACAGGGTGGTCCGAACTGTATTCTGGAAACTTCGGTAGCATATTCTGCATATAAAAATAAGTAAAAAAGTTCGTATAAATGTATGTCCTAAAATGCTTAGTTTCGGAGATACAGGGTGTAGAAGTTTCATTTTTACTTCGATTTTTTCCAAATAATTTCTGAAGTAACATCAATATTTAGTTGAAAATTGATGTCTGGGAGTTTTTTGACATGAGTAATTTGATTTTGATGTTAGTATGACTCCTACTGGTAGAGGGCATTGCCTACATATTTTTAACTGGTTTAAAGAGTAATAAATTTTCGTCCATACCTGTATAAAACTACTGAGTAAAAAAAATAAACATTTACAACGTTTTTTACGTGAAAAAGGTTTCTTGATAAAAATCGCTACGAGTAATGGTTTTCGAGATATTTGGAATCGAAATTATCAATACCTGTCATGATTGACATAAATTAAACACGTTGACTAAATAGTTTGTGCCAAAAATTCAACAGAAACTGTTTTATCATCTCTTTTGCAGAAAAATTTATGATTAATTTAAAAAAATTAAAATTTCCCAAATTAATTATTTCAGTGAAATAACTATCTACTCAAAAACCGTTTTAAAAAAAGCTGATTTTTTTTAATTTAAATTACATGATTAAAATAAAAAAAATCACGATTTAAATCATTTGTTTTAAATCATGCCAACCCTAGTATAAATACAAAAAAATACAATTAGGGGAACGGGCAAAATTTACACTAAGATTAACACCAACCCTGCTGCAAATTAAACTACTTAAAATTCTATTTATTTAAAGATTTTCTTTGTAAAAAGTTCCTCCAATAAAAATCTATAAGCGATACCAGTTGCACTTTTAGTTACATAATCGCCGGTGCGATTTTTAAATTCATTGTTGCCAACCATGGACACATTCGGCGCCGGGCTGACTAACTGGAATTTAAATTTCCCGCTGAGGATTCAGGTGGTAGCTCTGCTTTAAAAATGTCAACTTGCCACATTTAATTATATCCTAACGTTGTCATTCGTTTTGTATTGCGAGTTTTTGGTTTCAATGAATAGTGTTGTGATAATTTCAGCTTAATTTTTTTTACTAACAGATCTTGCAGTCGAACATTGTTCTTTTTAGAACCTCTTTTAGTGTGACACTACTTTACTGTACAGGGTGGACCATTTTGGTTGTTTCTATAGGGTATCTAGGAAACCGTGAGAAATATTCAAATTTTGATACTGCAGTCTCGGGTTCTTTTTTTGAAAAAATCACAATGGCGCAAACGGATCGTGGCTATCTTGATCGGTTTCGAAGCTACAGGGGGATTCTCAAATTTTGTACTTTTTGAACATGTTCGATAGTTTGTTTATTTCAGCAACCACGGAAAAATGAATTATACATTCTAAAGGCACTTTTCTGTGTAGAATGCAGTGGCGTAGTCAGACTTTTTTCAAAAAAAATATTTTTTCAGATATTAACTATACTTATGTTTTTTTTTAAATAGACTCCCTGTATATTTTTAAATTTTCTTATTCAGCTTGGCATGGGCTTCTCGAAAATATATAACACTCTATATTTATTTTCACTATTAACCTCAACATTTCAAATTTTTCTTAAAATATCCACGTAATGGATAGTAGGCCGCGCCGAGTAACAAAGTAAACGGTTATCATGGTGATCGGAACATACCTTTGATGGATGCGGGACATTTCATTTCAATAGATTGAAGTGTGTGTATTTTAAATAATAAAAAAATGAGTAAATTTGAAAATTTTGAGAAATATAATATGTTAGAATGTTATATTGAGTCTAACAAACATAAGCAAATGGCAGCTGATTTATATTTTGAGCGGTATCCAGAGAGCCGAGCAACCAAACCCAGCCATTTTTAAAAGGTTAGAAGATAGTTAATCAATTTTGGTTCTTTTCAAAAACCGGGCCTGAAAAATTATCAGAAAGAAGATGAAGAAAATCAATATATTAATGTCCTCGAAGCCGAATACGTGAATTAATAATTAAATAAAATGGAACAATACCAAGCAAATAAAAAATAAGTGTGACAGAAACAAAAAAACATATTTTAATATAAACTCAAGAGGTTACTTCAATCGGGCTTCTCAGTTAATATAAAAAAATAAAAACACAAAGACTACATTAAATGTTCAGACTGCTGCCCATTATTATCTAGACAGAGTTGCAACCGCACGCCGCTAACAGCATTTCAATTAAATCTATTGAAATATCTCGTAATCTAGTTAATATCTCAAAAAATATTTTTTTCGAAAAAAGTCTGACTACGCCACTGCATTCTGCACAGAAAAGTGCCTTTAGAATGTATAATTCATTTTTCCGTGGTTGCTGTAATAAACAAACTATCGAACATGTTCAAAAATTACAAAATGTGAGAATCCCCCTGTAGCTTCGAAACCGATCAAGATAGCCACGATCCGTTTGCGCCATTGTAATTTTTTCAAAAAAGAACCCGAGACTGCAGTATCAAAATTTGAATATTTCTCACGGTTTCCTAGATACCCTAGAAACAACCAAAATGGTCCACCCTGTACACTTCTACTGTACTACTGTACTGTGTACACTACAACACTTACTGTACAAGATAACTTAATAGCCGTTGCAAAAAACTCATCGCAACCTTATTAGAATATTTTGAACGGGAAAGTGGTAGAGGGATAATGTGATGGATGTCATTGATTGTATAAAGCGAATATCTGTGTATTTTTGTTATATTATTTTATTAAGTTTATTATTGAATATTTAGAACAGACATTTTTTAAAATACTATTTTTAAAATAATTAAATGTCACATTGCTGACACTCAACGCCGACGTCAGTAAAACGCTGTGACGTTCATCAGAAATTGTTTTGCATTATACTATAGAGAGACTAATCGCTAAAAATTCTTGGACTGCATGCCACACTGGTCATAACATCAAAATAACATCTATATCTTTGTTTTTTTTTCTGTCGGTATGAACCAGGAACACAAACAAGAACGAAAATAAATGTATTTTCGGACTGGGTATGTTTACGCTCTCGCGTGACTTGATTGCGATGACTTTGTTATCGTTTAATTCAGTTGTTTTTCCAAGATATCGGCCGCCTTGTGCCGAAATAAATTTCGATGTGGTAATCGATCAATTTTAATATTGTCTAAAAGCCTGAGAGTTGTTTATGACATACTCTCTAATATTTTAGAAACTGCAAGGCTATAGCAAAGCGTAGCAAGGACGGTGTGAGATATAATGTATGTATCATAGTTCGGCAAGGTCGAGATTTGTTGATAAATGTTTTTACTACTAATGCAAAGTGCTCGAAAACGTGATATTAGATTAAAATTATTAAAATTTTCTGGGACTCAAAGGTCAGAAAAGTAATACAAAAGGTACCCAAAATATACAAACTTGATGTACCTAAATAGAAAAATGCTCTAGGTTGTCGCTTACTTATCAAAATATTTAAAATATTTTTAACGTAAATAGAAAAATGTATGATAAAAAATTGGTCAAGTGCGAGTCGGACTCGCGCACGAAGGGTTCCGTACCATTCGTTATCTATACAACATTATACAACAACACACACATTATATTATTATAAACTATTTTTCCGATTTAGCTGAAATTTTGAATGCGCGTATAAGTAATTTAAAAAAAAATACGAAACACATTACTAAAAATTGTATTAATCAATAATAAATATGTAAAAAGTAAAAATAAATATGTAAAAATATGTAAAAATTAAGAAAAAACCGATTTAAAAAAGTCGCCTTGACTAGGATTCGAACCTACCTTACTACGGCGCCAACGTCATAGCAGCGTAAAGTCCTAACGCTTTAACTACGCGGCCACCGAGGACTTGAAAGATTCTATGTAAAATTCTTACTTAAAAGATAATGTTTAGTGAAAGTACTTTTTTATTTATAAACATTTATTTAATTCTGTTTTTAGTATTTGTTCTTATAGCGGCAACACAGATACATTATCTGTAAAAATTTCAACTGTCTAGCTATAACGGTTCATAAGATAAGAGACCTTTGTGACAGACGGACGGGCGGACAGCGAAGTCTTAGTAATACTGTTCCCGTCTTTACACTTTGGGTACGGAACCCTAAAATCATAATTAAACTGAAAAAAAAGTAGTAAAAGTATATTTTACATAACAACAATGAAATTACCAGTTCAAAGATTATATTGTTCATAATTTGTTTATCTCTTTACTGATTTTCTATTATTAAAAAAATATAATTACACCTCTATATAGTTACAAACGATAAGTAGTAAGTACTCCAAGCATTTTATAATTGTTTTAATGATAAGATTGGCGGCGCCAGTGTATAATACCTTACGTTGTGTATTTTTTCCAAATTAACATTTCTAATAGCCAGAAAAACAACTGCTGGCGTCACGTAGACAATATCATGCATTAGAGATGGGCTATGCTACAGATTAAATGTACAGGACGTGTTAAATACATTAGATGCCTTTGTTTTTTTTTATTATTTTTAATTTTGAACTCCTCTTGAACATAGACAAACCTTAAGGCACTCACAGATGATCATTTCTTTGTTCTTTAGCACAGGCGCACTGTGCAGGCCAGTTTGCGCTAAATTATTGCTTTTTAAGACGTTGTCTAGTTTTTTTTAAAGAACTTCTTAATTTATTAATCTTTTTAACGACTGCTTCCCTATTTGCTTCCCAATCAATCTCCTTTAGTTTTTCTACTATATGAAGTTGTTGAGGAATCAGAGCTGCTTCCAATGTTGTTGCTTTGGTAATAATCCAAGATGTAGCTCTTTACCCTCTTTACTTTTTACCTCTCTAAATTCCAGACAGTTCACAGTCGGCAATTTTTTGTATCTAATTTTACTTTTAAAACCAAATTATTGGTTTTAATAAGTGTTCGTTATATATAAGATAAGGTATTTAATTAAGAAGATATTGTAAATGATTATCAAAGCAACAACATTAGAAGAAGCAGCTTTGATTCCGTAACATTTGGTGGCAGCGGTGGGATGCCCCAATGAGAGATTTCATAAGTAATATGAAATTTCAGAAACAGAAAAAGTTTTACATAATCAATTAATATAATATAACAAAGAGATGAAATTAAAGTCTAAAAAATGAACGACGATATGGTGCGAACTATAACTTTGTAGCACTCTATACCTATTATGTGAAGAGTTTTTTGTTGCTATGTCATGTTATATCATTACTATTTTAAAATTCACACAAACCTAAACCAATATGGTTAATTATATTTCGTTTGTTGTTAGGCAATTGTTATATTGAAAAAAAAACGGAATTTCAATGGAAAAAATGTCGCTGTACATTGTGTATTGTTATCGCAATTTTTAACTTGAATATTGCATATACATAACGCAACCAGCGATAATACAAAACAATAAAACATAAGTACTCAATTTTAGTGTGGGCTGTAATAATAATATTGTAATAAAATCATTTAGTTAGAATTCTGATATGTATATAGGTTCACTGATGACCTTTGAATTTTATTTTTTCTTTTAACGAATGACTAAGATTTTTTTATTTAATCTGTTACTTGTTAATATCAATATGTAATTATCCCTCTACGGTAATTATAATAAAAATATAAATATATTAATAGAGTAAGAATCTCGTGAGTGGCTGTATTGGTTCAAATTTTGCAAAACAAAGCTGTATTGCCGTGTGGGTCCAATAATCAAGCAGGTCTTGGTTAAAAAAGGACTTATCTTTTATAATTTTCTGTTAAATGAAATTAAAAGGCGTTAATTAAAGAATTTATAACTAATTAATGAAATAAAATACAAAGAATTTAATCCTGTAGAGATAATAAATGCATTTTTAAGTTAGTATAACACAGACGACTGATATTCCGAAGATATGTAATTATCAATCAAGGGTAGTAAAGCAAACAAAGAATGATACCGAGAAAAAAATAAATATACTTATCAATAATTAAGTGGAAATCTTATCAATTATTAGGAAAACAAGACACTTCTGCATATGTATATGAATATTGAGTCATATATACTTAAAAAATACTTATATTGCTTTATCAGATAGTAAAATACTATGAAAAACAGATACTAGAACCCAAAAAGGACATTAAACAAAATCAAAATTCAAGTATTTTGTTTATTGAGTTATTTAATAATGTTTAAATAGTATTAGTAATAATAATTATACTGTGTGTGTGATTTTATTGCTAAAAATAAATAATACACTTAAATAACAAATATCAAAAGAAAAATCTGTTTATTGTTTTATGTATTATTGTTTTGCATTGAGCCGTCTGCATTAAAAAAGGGCATGCTAATTTATAATCGATGTAATCCGTATTTTTATTTTTTATTTATTAAAAAAAGCATTATTATGTAGATTTCTTTATGCCATTACTGAAAAAGATTTGATGTAAAAGTATGTATAAAAACGTAACTTAATGAAATTAAACAAAATGCATAATATATTTGAATATTCTTATAGTGTTTTTTTAACTGACTGTTAAAACTAAAAAAACAACGATTTATAGTTATTTGAATTTAGTACCAGACCAGTGCCTAAACAAATTGACAACCACGTGTATTTTTTTTGTTCAAATTAGGCTTTAAAAATGACAGTTTAATAAATATTTAGTTAATAAATGCGACACTATAATTATTTCATAGGATTTTTTTCTACAATTTATGTCAGTTAGATCAGTATGCATGATCAATGTAAATTATTATAAGTATTAATAATTATATTTAAATATTTTTCTATTTTTTCACATTAATTTTTCTAAATTAAAAAAGTTGTTTTTGATGCATTTTCGAACAAAAGTACAGTTTACAGGGTGTCCCTTTCTCGCTTGAGTAGAGATAAAAAAATGCGGGTTTCACATCACTTTGTTACTTTTCTATTATGAAACTAAAGACGCTACATACAGATCTGTCCTAGCCCTCTTAGTTTCTGAAATACAGGGCGAACTTTTAGTTGTTTCGTTTTAACCAAGTAACAGAGGGGGTCAAAAAATGCAGCTTTTTCAAATTTACCCTGTATTTCAGGAACTAAGAGGGCTAGAATGTGTAGTATCTTTAGTTTCATAATAAAGAAAGTACCTCGGTGATGCGAAAAAAACGCATCTTTGTATTTCTACTCATAAAAGAGAAAAACCATAAAACACACGAAAATGGAGCATCCTGTACGTCAGTCCAAAATGCCAAAACGAACATACTTATTATTATCGCACCGCCCTCTAACATTTTGTTTTGACATTAATTACGTAAACGCATTTTTTATGTCCGACGGTTGTTTGTGAATGGAAAATTCTTAGTTTTATGTTTGCCAACGTCTAACTAACAATAAATTACCCGATGAAGAGTTTTATAATTAAAAACGTGTGCATAATTTTATAATCGAATAATCGAACATTGTTTGCATACTAACTTGTTTGCATTTAAAATTCATAATAGGTAGAATCCAATGAGCAGCCAACAAACAAAGCGAGAGAAAAATAATAATTTGAGTGTTTTCTATTATTATTTGTATTAGGTACATGTTTCTGCAGTTAAACTATAAGTATATTGTTACCGGATCAAAAAATGTTTAAACTTGACTTCCAAATTATTATTTTTAATCTCTAACCTCCTTGTTTCATATATTATATCAATTTTAAATTATATAACAAATATTCTTGGACGACACCAATTTTTTGGCCATTGACCTCAAAGTATATTTTTATAATTATCGTTTGTTGTATTTAATTTGCTATGTTTACCAATTAATAACAACATTTATTTTAGCATATCTAATGTTTTTTTTTAATAAAATAATATGTCTTTGCCGTTTTTTCCAAGTCCAAAATAACCGAGTTAATTTTGAGACGCTACTGGATCTTTTCTCGGGTTTCTTTCTTGTAAATTTGATCTATTACCTATGTTACCATATTATCAAGAAATTATGGTTTTTAACTAAAAAAAAAATCAAAGAAACTTAGAAACTTTAAACAGGAAACAAATTTAGATAGGAATGCTCGACTTGCCGCCAAAACTTATAATTGTTTTGGAGCGCATACGTATATAGCGTTGTAGGGCGCTGCTATAGCGCTTGCTAACGTTGCAAAGAACAACCGCCAAACAAGAACAGAAATAATTTTCTCTTTTCAAAGTCAGAATCTTAAAAGTTATAAAATCTTTCAAAATTTAAACCGCCCCTCATTGAAAAACTACCGAAAACTGTTTGAAGCATCCATTTTCAAACTAATTATTGCTACCTTGTGAGTTTAATTTAAATTTTATTTACTCAAACCGCTGATAATTGTGAAAAAGTGGCATTAAAAACTTAAAAAGCTGTGTGAACTTGAAAAACTATCGTGGATCATGGCATAACGTGGGTTTCCAATGTTTCATAGGTATTTCGTACATGTCCTTATATAAAATAAAGTTTCTTATATGCAACACAGTGTATTTCATTTAAAAAAATTAAAAGAAAATAATAAATTTGAATACATACTATTTGGCGACATAATTCCGGAAAATGCCGAACCGCTCCGAAATTATCAAAAGCTTTGGAGAGCGACCGTTGTAAGAATAGCGCCAAATAGCATTTACATTGTCCTCTTGGGCACTTTCCAATCTAAACTTGTTTCTTTTATCTACGATTGGTGGTTTGTTGTCATCAAACATGTTTAAATAATTATTAATTTGCTTCTCCTGTTGTTTCAGAAAACACCCTTCGCCAAACCTTCGGGCGAAAAAATGGAACTGACCAAATTCTTCCGGGAGTGGCAGCAAGCGCCCCTCCTGGAAACGTTCAAAGACCTGCCCCCCGTCGAGGTGACGGACCTGCAAAAACAGCTGGAGACCTACGAGTCGGACATGCAAGAGTTCGACAGCATCGTCTCAAGTTTCTGTCAGCAGAGTTCGCCGAACAACAACTGAACTGTTCTTCTAGGTTAAGCTCTCGAAACCGTTGTATAATCTCTATGCGATTGGTAACAATGTGTGCGATCGTTTTAGATCGTGCGTCGTCGGCCCGTCCCGGTCGCGTTCGTCTCGGCTCGGCCGCGGGTCGCGAGGGGCGTGGTCGGAGGCGGGACGAGATTGTGGCGCGCGATTTGAATTTCTGTGTGCCTGCTTTTGGATGGTTTTGGTTAGAGGATCCGATAGAGTGATTAGGTTTTATTTATTCCGATTTAAAGATGTTTTATAAGCTTATTTGTTTTATAGAGTCAGTTTATTTTTTTATTATTTCCTTATTTTTTCATATTGCAAGTTGGCAAATATACATAAAAAATATTTAATTATGTACTAGTACTAGCCAAAAATTAATAATTATCTGTATAGTCTTCTCTACAACGTTACGTCATCATTCTTTATCTAACATCCGTTTTAGGGTGGGTCTGAGATCATTTCATATTGAGAAAATTTCAAGTACGTTCCGATCTTGTTCCGATATTAGTAATTAAGTGCGTTCCGATTTTATTAATTTCAACTAAGTATATTGGCGTTTATTCATTTTGGTTGCGTTTCAATTAATAATTTTCAGCGTGCAAATTCCAGTTTTAGTAGTAACTAGGAATGGGCGATAATGAATTTTACCTAATCGATATGTTATCGCAATTCACCTATGGATATATCTATAACAATCGAATTGCCGATAGTTATCGATACATCGAAAAAAGAACTTCCTTTATCATAAAATCTGTATAAAAGAAAAAAAATTTAAGGAAAACTGAAAATATGATGTACCTTGTTTTATATAATATTTTTGAAATGTACAACAATATTCAGGTTTTTAAAAAAGCAAATAAAAATATAGCCACAAAAATAAATTTTGATATATCAATAACAACTATCGATATATCAATATTTCTTTTTGGATTATATCATTCTTCGGACAATAGATATCTATTTTTTTTTGTAAATTGTTTCTTGGGATTATGGTCCGAATAAAAAACATTTTATTACGGACCATAATCTCAAGAAACAATTTACAAAAAAAAATATATATCAATATTTCTATATATATGTATATCGATAATTATCGATATCTTAGATATATTTAAAAGAATATATCGATATGTATCGATAGTTATCGATATATCGGGAAAATCCAATCCCTAGTAATAACTATTATAGTAACAAATTTGAATTTTGTTTGACAATTGGTTTTTAATTTTGGCCCTATTCAATATCTGTCAACAGAATTATAACCTCAAAAAAAAAAAATAAAATGACAGTTACTAGAATCAACGTGCAGCTACCGAAATGACGTCTAGTTTATTTCATCCGGGTTTCACGTGAAAAAGGAGTACCTAATTCGAATACACCAAACTCACTCTATCGGTTTCTGTTATTTTTTGTAGCCCGCTTGGTGAGATGTCAGGATTAAATATGTCGGAGGTGTATTTAAGGCTACACCTTCAGCCAAAGACTGATTTGCGAGAAAAAAGTTACTAATTTCTTGTACATAACGACGATTAAATTTTAGTAAGAAAAATGAAAGAAATGAAAAAATTTTTGAAATCGAGTCTGACCTTGTCTACTAGAAGATACGAATCTTAGGTAATATCACTAGATCACAAAAGATGTTTCAACGAAAAAACCTAAGAAATATGTACGTTAATTTTGCAAATAAAGAGTCTGTAGATGATACTCCGTAAATAATATTGCTTTGCCTGAGATTTTGGCTTGAAACATTTTGTACTGACGTGGCAAAAACTTTATATAGAGAGAATTTTTAGGGAATTGTAGGTATAATTTTGTAACAACAGGTATGTGTGAAAGAAATGCTTGTTAGTAAGGCTGTATGTGATGTGATATTTAGAAAAAAATGCTCCTTTAGTTATAACTAGTTTGAAAATTTAGGAATGAAGAATACTCAATTGCCTCTAATATAACTGTTAGTTACATATCCTATCAAATTATGTAAAAAATTGATTTTTTTACACTGGAAAGGGTTAATTGAGTCTATAATATAGGAAATTAAACATGTTAAAGCCTGTTTTTACATGATTAAAATGGATGATATTGTTAAGGTATTTAAGAGGTACCATATGATCAAAAATATATTACATGTACGTTGTTTTATTCTGCTATGGTTGTTTGCTGCCTCTGGAAACTCTGACGTGCTGGTTGTTCTATAGCAAGAGTGTAAAATCTATTGACACGCACTGCTCATTGACGCTGGTTCGAGGCCGGATATCTCGTGAGTAAGAGTCGATTTAGACACTCGCCAAGTGGGTAGACCATTGACAATGATATTGTCGAGAACTGCGGTTCGGATTCCTCGAAAACAAAGTAGGAGACGTTAACTTAAAATATTTTACTTTTAACTACAACATAGCTGTCATTTCTTAATCAAAATTTACAGTGCCAATAAAAAAATTATGATTTAGTGTCCACAAAAAAAACTGCTAAGTACTACGTATTTATGATCATATGGTATTTCGTATAATACCACAATTTTATATTATAATAATAGGAAAGATGGCTCATATATACGCGATATACGATATAAATGAAGAGGTTAGTTAAATTAATATTTAGTTAGTCCACGTCGGTACGATCTAGAATAGTATCCAGTTTGACTGTGGTATGTTTGTGAAGCTTTAAACGTATGTTAGCGAGTGAGATGGATAAAGAAAAATCTGTTTTTGTAAGCGCAATCGCCAAAAAAAATCGCATCAAATCGTACCTTACGAAAAACAAAATGATTTATCGTAACAAAGAATCTATTGAATTTGTAAAAGTCTAACCTGGTTAATGAGATTGATTTTAAATAGGAGTGAACGGAAATCGCACCCGGTCGGCAATTACGTTGTAGGGAGGGTAAAAAGTATCGATACATAAAAATATCGATAGTTAAAAAATCGATATGGCTGATTATTACTTGAGAGTTATAACTTAAATGTCATATAATATAGATCCAAATCCGTTACATATAGTGTACAGTGTGCGTCAAAAAGTTCTGAACAATTGGCACTTTATTATGTTACCATTACTACATAATTAAGTATTATTTTACCCACATTACTTGTTTAATTTTTTCATGTTACTATCAGTTCTCAAAAATATACAAGACCTTTCAAAAAATTGCCATTATTAAGTCTTTTTTTTTTCGAAATGTGGTCAAAACATTGGTACATAACGTAAAACCAACTTTTGAAAATGCCGAATTAATTCTGCTTTAATTTTTTTGTAGAGGGTTATTAATAAACGAAATCCTAATTGTTATATATAGATATTTTTAAACGACACTGTATATATAATACGTCAAAATATCGATATTTTTGACGAGTGTATCGATATTTTTTCTCTTGAAGTGCACATTACTATCGCATAATTTCAAAGGCAATGCAATAACCTTAAAAAGCGATACTAATAAGTACGTTAGACGTTTATGTTCGTGTATCCTAATTGTCGGGAACTTTTTGACCGGCACTGTATATAATACATCTAAATATCGATATTTTTGATAAACGTATCGATATTTTTTTTTCTTGATGTGCACATCCCTAACACATAGTTTCAAAGGCCTTTTAGACTGACGCGACACTAACGTGAATGTTAGACGTTTATGTTCGTAATTTTTTTATCGATACGTCTAAATATCGATACATTTGATGAATATCGATATTTTTTTTCTTGAAGTGCACATTACTATCGCATAGTTTCAAAGACAATGCAGTCACCTTAAAAAGCGGGACTAAAAAGAACGTTAGACGTTTATGTTCGTGTATCCTAATTGTCGGGAACTTTTTGACCGGCACTGTATATAATACATCTAGATATCGATATTTTTGATAAACGTATCGATATTTTTGATAAACCTATCGATATTTTTTTCTTGATGTGCACATCACTAACACATTATTTCAAAGGCCTTTTAGACCGACGTGACACTAACGTGAACGTTAGACATTCGTGTTCGTGTTGCTATGTTTGAATTTTTTGATCGATACGTCTAAATATCGATATATTTGATGAGTGTATCGATATTTTTTTTTCTCTCGAAGTGCACATCACTATCGCATAGTTTCAAAGGCTGTGCAGTCACCTTAAAGGCCGACACTAGCGTAGAAGTTAGACGTTTTACGTTCGTGTCAAGCTCTGGTTGCACTCGGTACGACCTTGGCAAGCGCGTACCCGGTACGATTTCTATCGCTCACAAATGCTATTTATAAAGCGAAATAATTACTTGTTTACTAGCTTTTTTGCCCGCCGTTGTTTCATGAAAATCCCCATTGGTTTCGTTATGCAATAAATAAAATACCGTATTCGTTTAATAAATTATACAGGGTGATTCTTCAACTTGGAACGAATTGAGTAAATCGACGGTTTTCGGAAATATGCTCAGACACTTTGACGAGTTTCTTTAATTGAATGTCCCAAATTACGGGGAAACACTGTTTAAAACTATCTTACATTAAAAGAGCGCAATTATTAGTATGTTATCAAAAAAAAACCTTTGATTTGCTGAATATATTCGAAGCTAGAGAATCACCCTGTATATTATGTCGCCATGTAAATATGATCTACCATTTGCCACAATTTTTTTCTTCTTAGGGATGGGCGATATAATGGATTTTATATATCGATAAGTAATTGCAATTCACCTATCGACCTATTTTACATATCGATATATCGACAATTATCTCAATATGACTATCGAATTACTGATGGTCCTCGGTAAGTTATATTACCGATTAAGATAGTTATATTACTGTTTAGAAACCACCTATTATTATTCGATAAGATAGGTGAAGATATATCGATATATCGGGAAAAAATCCATCCCTAATTTTTGCTTAAAATTGTCATAGTTATAGGTCATATTTTCACGTCAACATTATTTGTTTCTTTATCCTATATGTTTTTTTGCTCAAATGGTATAAATTTGAAATCTGTGTTTTGTGGCATACCATGATTTTTATTTATATTTTAGTTGAAAGAGATGATTTGTTTGTATTTTATTTATATAAATAAATATATTCGTACGTAAACATGTCTTTTATTCAACAATTCAACTGACCGTTTTACAATATTTTATTAAAAAAAGAATTTGGTATAAAAATATAGTTCCAATAAAATAAATGATATAAAATGATTCAATGTCATTCAATTGATCAACAATGCAATTTATTCACTAATATTTAATGCTTAACAAATATATGTACTTTTGATTAAAGCTACAATAACAATTAGCAGGGTATATACAGGGTGTCTATATGAAAGTATTTTAAAAATCTTACCGTATATTATACGATCAAGGAAAAAAAACGGCGTCACAGTGACCTTCTAAAAGCCAATCAATTATAATTTAATTTGAAAAAGCTAGAAGCTTTAAAGAAATCGATTCAGTGAAAATAGTTGATTTTATGAAGAATTTTCACACACCCTGTATATTGAGATGTATACAAAAATTATATTAACAAATAAAAGAAACAAGTTTGGACTTCCCCTGTTTAATTTAATTTATACTTCAAGCAAAATAGAAAAACAAATGTATAAAAAAAGATTCATATAAAAATAAAAGCCTGGTCATTTTTTGTAGCAAGATTTCAACAGCCCAAAGAAATTTTATTTTTTTTAATAATGCCCAGCTCTGGAATGATGAAAAAATATTTCACTTAATAAGATTTTCTTGTCACAAAAAATACCAATCAACAAAAACTTAGGTAGTTGTCAATGCAATTGCTAAAAAATTATCTGACCTGGTAACATTACATGAAGGATACTTTTGTAGAAACAGATTCGTGATGCAATCTAAGTATTCTCTCCTCCCTCCTGACAATTTCAAAATTGTTTCACCGGTATTTCCCCGAAAATCCACGTACCAACCTTCCTCGCATGGGTCGAAATACTTCCAAATATTCTCGCAACATATTAGGTTAAGGTATTGCAAGTTGCTTCTTCCTAATAACCTACGTAGACTGATAGACGTCAAGTCTTTGTTGTAGGATAGATTTAGTGATGTCAAATTTGGAGCCAACCTACCAAAAAAAAAAAGAATAGTATATAGGTTTGGTGCATTTCAGTTGATTTCAACAAATTCCGACCGGAGCGCTTCAACGGCAAAAATCTGAAATTATTACTACCTAAGTCACGCCGCCCGCGCTGTCATGTTGATCGCATTAAAATAATATTGAAATGGTGGTTTTGTCGTAATACAGGGTGGCGCCTCTCATACGCCGCGGAAGCTCCAAAGAGAACGGTAATTTATATCGAAATGAAATTTTGGCAGTATATGTAGTTAACTGAAAGGATTTTATAAAAATATATAGAATTATACAGGGTGTCCCCAAAAAAAGTTACACATCAAAGTTGTGTTTTTTCTAATGGAATACCCTAATATTAATTGATTTTTAGATTTTGACATATTTCACATTTTGTGAAAATGAAGAGTAAATTTTAAATTTCGATAACAGCTACCTAAATTTTCGTTGACCTTGTATAGCCTGATATTTAATTACAGTAACCATTATATGTTAAACCAAATTGAAATTTGGCCCGAAAAGTTATACAAGGTGAGACAAAATTAATATTGAGCATTAGTCACTTTTAAAAGCAAGTTATTCCTTTATTTTAAATGGAACACCTAGTATATTTTTCCGGTGTTCAATGGGGAATTTATATATCTTCAAAATATTATTGAGGTTACCTACCCCTCAGACAAAGATTTTCCGAGATATCTTAATTTTTAAGATTTTGCGTCAGTAAATCTTTACTATTTGAAAAAATCTAGGTGGCTGTGTGATACTTTTTGTTAAGTTAACAAAAATTAAAGATTATAGAGTAAAATACTCAAGGGTAATACAAAGGTACACGTTTAAAACATATTTTAATTATTACAGAATTAAAACTAGGTATAAACCTATAATTAGGCGACAAAAATTAGCTAAATGAAATCAAATGCTCAAAATGCTTCCTTTCCTGTTAACTGCAAAAAATGATTCTTTTCAAAAGGATCTTTTCATTTTAAAGGGCATAATGTGGAGTTCTACCTTGAAAAGCAGCTACAATAATTTCATGTTGTCGACACTAGTTCGATTTTTGTAAACACTGTCTTTAACATATCCCTATAGAAAAACCTAGACTAGATAAAATCAGGAGCAAAATTCAGAATATTCGATTAATTGGTGAATGCACACTGCATTTACCAACTAATAGAATTATATCAATTCTCTGTGATGTAGGATAAGTTTGCATTTTCGGTAAATTTCTAAAAAGGCTGGTTTTTCTGGTTTTGTTTGTCAATCAATGTCATTTATACAGAAATCAAGCAAATATTGGAAGTTCGAGTGAAATTCTCATTTAATTTATAAAATTTGGAATATTTTATATTTACATCCAAAAGCAATGGAGGTAGGCAGTAAAGGTAAATAAATTTCAATAACTAAATTAAATGACTTTTAGGACCATTTAAACTTATCATGCAGCCATTGTTTCTTAAAGTCAGGAACATTTAAAGAAAACATGAAAAACAGGACAAGTACTCGTGAATGTTTTGTAAGCTATAAAAATATAAAAAATATTGATTAGATTTGTTTATTTATTATTGATCTGTTTTAATATTGGACCTGCAAATCTTCACCTGAGCTGTATAACGAGTTTAACCGTTTATTAATAAAGTACTTTTCAATATTAAACTCCATTGAAAAGAAGAAGCCAACGTAAAAGCAGCGAATAGGTACATTAAAAATGCATAAAAGATAAATTTAATAATAAAGGTATTGAAATTTAGAAAACGTCAACATTTGGCATTTCCAGTATTTTACCAAACTGTTCCATACCAAACCGATGTTTTTCAGGAACCGCTCTTTACCGTAGTATACCAGTCTGGTTCGCCTGGTTTTGTAACGGAATACAGCCTAAGAAATACGTTTACTAAAAACTGATTACTCACCCCAGTAGTTCAAATAACTCAGAATCCGTAACATTACATCGACTCAGTCCAACCTTCTCCAAAACTATCTCTTTCTGTCCGTCCAACACTTCGAACAGCGGTCCTAAACCCTGACTGATCGCATTATTAGACAAGTTGAGTTCCTTTAACACACTCCTATCCGTCCACGACAGTATCCTCCTCACATCCCTAACCTCCAACTCGTTTGAACTAACGTCAAGTCGCTCAACAGTTTTCAGACATATACTGTCACAAAACGCAGCCAATCCATTCAGTTTTACCTCTTTTAAATCAAGCGTTTTTAGATTAATCACCCTAGTTATGGCGGCTAAATCCTTCAAACAGCCTTGACTCAATTGGAGGTTGTGGCTCAAGTTCAGGACGCTCAAGTTTGAGAATACCGACGTGTGATTGGTTATAGTATTAGTGAGTAGACTTAAATGGGAAGTTTGTAGGTCTGTACAGCTCAAGTTTAGTACTCTCAAGTTGGGCAAGGTAACCAGGCTGGTGCACAGCATGTTTATACATGACGTGTTCAAGAAATTTCCTGATAAGTTGATTTCCGTCAGATTTTTTTGATGGTTTATCGCTTTTAGTAGGGGTGATAGATGTGTTCCTAGGATTCCGCGGTTTTCTAGGTCTAAGTTTACTGATAGTGTTTCAATTAATTGGCACAGATCTGTGTCAACATCTATACAACAAAAAGGCAATTAATATCAGTGAAACAGTGAAAACTGTCATCAGTATCATTAAGACTGCGTACACAAAACATCCCCTTGTATGATTTTGACTTATATGTCATGAAATGAAAGTAAAAAAGCATCCCCTTGAGTTTGTTCGCGCACTAAATTCATGAAATATCGATCCCTATATTTATTTTTTTTTAAATTACTTTGAATTATATTATTAATTATTTTAATTGTGACGAAATAGGTATATTAAAATTACATTACACAGGGTGGTCCGAACTGTATTCCGGAAACTTCGGCAACATATTCTGAAGATAAAAATAAGTATAAAAGTTCGTATAAATGTATGTTCTAATATGCTTAGTTTTGGAGATACAGGGTGTAGAAGTTTCATTTTTATTTCGATTTTTTCCAAATAATTTATGAAGTAACGTCAATATTTGGATGAAAATTGGTGTCTGGGGGTTTTGTGACACGATAAATTTGATTTTTTGATGTCAAAATGACTCCTATTTTGAAGAGTAATAACTTTTCGTCCGTACCTGTATAAAACTACTGACTGAAAAAATATACATTTCCATGACTTTCCACGTAAAAAATGTCTCTTGGTAAAAATCGGTACGAGCAACCGTTCTCAAGATATTTAAAATGAAAATGATCAATACATGTCATTATTGACAAAAAATAAGAACACGCGTTGAGTATAGTTATTTGACTGAAATAATAAATTTTAATTTTTTTAAATCAATCATAAATTTTTCTGCAAATAATTGATGATTTAACAGTTTTTGTTGAACTTTTGGCACAAAAAGTTTCAAATGTATGATTTCAGTCTAATAACTATTAAGTCAAAATATTGAATTTATGTCAATGATGACAGGTATTGATAATTTTGATTCCAAATATCTCGAGAACCATTACTCGTAGCGATTTTTACCAAGAGACCTTTTTTACGTAGAAAGCATCGTAAATGTATATTTTTTCCTCGGTAGTTTATACAGGTACGGACTAAAAGTTATTACTTCTCAAACCAGTTAAAAATATGTAGGTGGCGCCCTCTACAAGTAGGAGTCCTATTGACATCAAATCAAATTTCTCATGTCAAAAAACTCCCAGGCACCAATTTTCATCCAAATATTGACGTTACTTCAGAAATTATTTAGAAAAAATCGAAATAAAAATGAAACTTCTACACACTGTATCTCCGAAACTAAGCATTTTAGGACATACATTTATACGAACTTTTTTACTTATTTTTATCTGCAGAATATGCTGCCGAAGTTTCCGGAATACAGTTCGGACCACCCTGTACATTAAAAATTACAATAAAAAATTGTAATTTCTATATAACATATAATTTAATTTTAATATACCTATTTTGTCACAATAAAAAAAAGTTTATATCAATACCCGATCGAACATTACAAAAATAAAACAATTATTGATGTTATTATAAATTATGTATTTTACATACCTATGAACTGAAAAAAAGGTACAAAACAACTCGAATCTTTCCGGGAATTTGGAAAACGAAAAAAACTGCCATTTTTGTTGTCGCAATTAGAAACGCTACAGTTCTTCGCAGGTTTGCGTTCTAGGTCGAAAAAAGCCATTGCAATGAAATATGAATAATTAAAATAAAATGTACTTAGTAATATAAGTACAAATAAACCAGACCAAACCAAACCAAACCGCACACCGAATATTCACAAAACACAACGAAATAAAAATATTGACATATTTAAAAAACAAATGGATATTTGTCAACTTTTTAATGACTAGCAGCGCCTCTAGTGTTTGTTCGCACAGTATAGCTTTTACTTCCAGTCATTGCCATTACAGAAAATGTTCTAAAGGGGGATGTTTTGTGACTGCATCAAACTAATGAAGTTGCCTGACTGACAACTGATACCAACCTAAACTCATATGATGACAAGTATCCATGTATCTATCAATCAACGGTGGAAGACTCCATTCGGTGACCTTGGCAATTACTTTCTCAGCTTGAGTACTACCCATGGGGAAAAGCAAACTAAGCAGATCGTCATCAGCCAACACAGCTCCTGAGACTGTTTCTAGTTCTAACGTAGGTTTCATATATTCTTTACTGAAAATAATGTCATATTTTAATAAATTTCAACACATAATAAGATGTCAGACATACCTGGCATATCTATGTGCAGCTTCGCTGGCAAGCCACTTTATCGTTTTGCTTTGGATTTGGGAGAATAATACTGGCACTCTAAACAATCTTCCTTCAATTTGAACGTCAACAAACAAAGTTGGGTCCAAAACATTAGAGGTGTGGTCTATCTGACTTTGGGGTAAGGTTGTAGAGTCAGCTTCCACTGAAGAGGTAGAAATTTGACTGAAGGAGGGTATTCTTGCTTGTACCAAACTGTGAACGAAATAAGAATATAAATCACCTCACTTATGTTTCTTTCATTTAAATTTTGTATTCAAAAGAAAAACGACAAATATAAATAACTCAAGTTACCCATCAGAGCTGGTGTGCCTCCTCCATGCAGGTCTAATCCCTGGGGAACTGCTGTTTCTTTTCTTACTAAAACCAGCATCTAACAAGGTTGCTTGTGTTTTTCTTTTCGATTTATTTGAACCGCTCGAACTGGTATTGCTTTCATCGGAAATTCTTCGGATATTTGGCGTTGTTTGAATCTCCCCCCAATCTAAGTCGTTTCTCTCAAAATCTGCGCAAAGTTGGTCTAGAATATACAGGGTGTTCCTTAATCACATAAAAATATGATAAAATATACCTTCTGTCCTCGTGCTTATTCTTGGTGATCTATTCGAACTATCCTGTCCAAACGACCTACTCCTAGTAGTTAATTTCAGAGATTCGTCCGTTTTTCTTCGCTTGTTTTTCGTAGGTCTAACGTCCTCCTCCAACCAATCATTCTCATCCACAAAATCGACATCCGCTACGTAAGCGGATCTCTTGTTATCCGACTGAGACTTGACAGGCGATGGCTGTTTTTCGGTCTGGTAGTTCTTGTGTCGCAGGTTCTGCATCACGGATTGATACTCTAGAGAGGCGTTTCTTTCTTCTTCCAGACTGGGTTGTGTGTAGAACTCGTTGGTATCCGGTGTCTCTAAGATTGCAAATGGCGGAAAATCGTTTATTAAAAACTATCCGACATATAGGTAGAATAGAATATATAGACTAGTGATGGGAATACCAGTTCCACGTGAGTCGCGTGATACAATAGCGACCGTTCCAGAAAAATACCACGACAAAATACCGCGATTTTGTAACCGAGGTTCCGACTTCCAAAGTGTTGCGGTCCTCGCTAAAAATATATCTAACTTATCTATATTTGTAGATTCATGTAACTTTTATCCGCCACTCATTTTCTAAATATCGAGTTTATTATTGTGTATAGCCAATCTATCTCATTTTTAGAAAAACGATGACATTCCTTTAATTTTTTTTTTCTTTATCAATTTTCGTTTAAATAAAACGAACGGCTCATATTTATGTGTATTGCAATATAATATATTTAATGTTAAAATCAAGAACAATGTCCAAACCACTGTCAAAAAAAATTGTTTATTGTTCTAACCTAACCTTAAAAATAGATATAAACAATAAAACTTATATAAATGTATAAAAGCAAAATAAAATATTTTTATTTTATTTTATTTGCTTTTGCGTTTCATCTTTCAAACAACACTATTTTATACCATGCCTAGTACATACCAAAAATCGATATTTCGAAAGAAACGTAGCGACGGGAGCACCAACGCCAATAGTAACCGACCAAATCGCGACAGGCAAAACCGAAACCCTAGAAGCGCTCCAGCGACTGCTGGAACGAAGTACGTGGCCGCCGAGGTCGAGCGTCAATAATCAGTTACAGCAGTTACTTCTGTGCGCGACAGGGAACTAAAACTCTAGGAGCGCGACGACTGGAGCGAAGTAGGTCGCCGCCGAGGTCGAGCGTCGATGCCCAGTTACAGCAGTTACTTCTGTTGGCGACGGGGAACTACAACTCTAGGAGCGCGACGGCTGGAGCGAATACGTCCCGATCGAGATCGCGCGGTGCTACGGGCATACCAGTTCCAGATACTACTGTTGGCGACCGACGAAATCGCGACGGCTGGAGCTAAACACGTCGCTATGCGGTTACTACGGTTCGAGCTAACTTCAAGTGCGATTATAAATAATTTATTTGCAAATTATAAATAATTTATAATTTTGTCGTCATTATGATCGTCGTTCTTCAGTAACAGGTTCCTAATTCGTTATGGAGCGCGACACGACGTTACAAAAAAATACCGCTCCAAAATCGCGTTACTCAAATACCGACACATCACTAATATAGACTGTCCTATTACTATCTATCTACTAGAATCTATACTATCCGAAATAGACGGTCATGCAATATTAATATGAGATTATACAGCTTCCGATGCGATCATCCGATATTAATCCCAATTCTGATATTACTATCAACCGATATTAATATCGTCTAGCGCAAAAGTCATTGCTTTGATGAATCGCATTTGGCTATGATACAAAATCTTACATGATGAAATGAAAAAATATATTCATAATATATGCAGAACTTGCAAAAAAAGAGGAATACCATAAAATAAAATCAATCTTGTAATAAATTTATACCATTAACTTACATATTATTACATTATCTATACCGGGTGCGTCTCAAAAGTGACTCACCCCTATAGAATGTAGAATGTTTAGGAGGGGAGTTAATCACCGCGACCTTATAGATCTATTGTGTGTTCCCCTTTCTTGAGTTATAACGAGTTATAACTCATCATACAGTCTCAGGGCTTTAACAAAAGCCAGTATCTGAGACGGCTCCACAGAGGCCAGCTCTCCATCCTCGACATCAGACGTACCAAGGTTCATGGCACGAATGGTCGTCGTCTCGGCGACTCACCCCCTATAACTTTTTTATTTTTTCAGATAAAATAACGAGACTTGGTACGTTAGTATATATAACATAAATCATGTTTGATTGACGTATTCAATTGTTTTTGGTCACTTCCTGTTTCACCGGAAATTACTACAACTTTTGGTTTTTAAATGGCACCCTCGATATTTTTTTACTTTATTTGATAGAAAATGACATTCTGAATAGAATCACGTATCATATGTCAAATTTTGTAAAACACTAATTTTTAATCAAGGAGCCTTGGAAAAATAGATTGGATCGTCTAATGTTTTTAGGGTCTTGTCCTGGCCAGTTAGAAAATGCTCAAATCGTATTTTTAATCATATCTCAATTTTTTAAAATGGAACGAGGGTGGCTCATGAGCATATGTGGAAAAGGCATTTTTCTGCGAATAATTTGAAACCACACACTTGGTATTTCGAGTCAAATTTTCGTTACGAACCGCAAGTTATAATTTCAAATAAACCATATGCGAAAATGTCAAAAGTTGATGATATGTAATTCTATTCAGAGTGTTATTTTCTATTGAATAAAGTAGAAATATACTGAGGGTGCCATTTAAAAATCAAAAGTTGTAGTCATTTCCGGTGAAACAGGAAGTGAGCAAAAACAATTGAATACGCCAATCAATCCTAATTTATGTCTTATACCAACATACCAAATCTGTTTTTTTTTACTGAAAAATTAAAAAAGTTATAGGGGTGAGCCACTTCTGAGACGCACCCGGTATACTTGTATCAAACTTACCTTCCTGTTCTTCTTCCTCATCATCCACGTCATAAAACGAAGCATTTCTTCTCAAAGATCCGACTTTTGAAGGAGATCCCCTAGAAGCAGTACGCTTTTCGGGACTTCTAGACTTAGTGACAACCAAGTCGCTCTGACCGGCTCTATCTAAGGTTCCAGACAGTCTCTCTGCGAGTTCTTCATACAAGGTCTGTTGTTCGACAGATAAACCTTCCGACCTGTTATACCTGAGAAAGAGGGTTGTTATATTTTAGACATTTTGTCCACAAACAAATATTTTAAACGTGTATAAAGGAGCCATTTTGTAAACTTATTTTTTTATCTGTTTAAAACATGTATGGTGTATAGGTTTTCTTTTGTCAATAAAAAATAAAAAACATTCTTTATTTCAACTAATATTATATTTTCTACCGTGTTTTCTACACCAACTAATTTTCTACATTTTTTTGAGTTTATATTTATTTCAAATACTTCAATCGCAACGATTAGTACAAGAAATAAACTAATAACGATATCTCTAAATTGTTATTTATTATTTAACAGATGGATAGGATATAGTATGTCAAAAAAAAAGGGGGGAGGGGCATAACTATGTATTAAATTCCATATTATTTTAAATTGATATGTACAACGGAAGGATGCGTGACAGTGACTGTTGTGTCATTATAATTCACAGGCATATCGTATTTTCTGTCATTTTCTGGATGTCGAAATTTTCCTTGATTTGTTACACACTATAATCGAAGTTTACACATATCTTAAAAGTTTTCAATAGTAAGTTCAAAGTTTACAGAATAATTCTATGTAATTCTGTGAACTTTGGTAAGACTCAAACAGAACAACAAAAAATAAGAATATCTAACATAATGAAAGTAAGAACTACAAACTACAATAATTATTATTATATGTATATAGTTTATGACACCACAGGCTTCCTATGGTAAAATTAAAAAAAGGAACAACGAAAACTTTCAAAGAAAAAAAATCAGACATTTCCGTACGGTCTTCAGATTAAACAGAAAAAAAATATTCTAATAGTCTTCAGATCGATTACTGCCTCTTATATTCAGGGAGTTATTACCGTCACAGAATAGAGAGATAGCGCGCGTACACATTTTACAGTTTTAACACTTAAAGAATTTAAAGAAAATAATAAAGAAACATCTAAAAGGAAAAAACCGGCTTTAAATATACAAAATTAATTTTTTGGTCCTGTTCTCAGATTTTTATACATTTTCTACTCAATATTCTACATTTTCTACGTATACGCGTAATATACACTACTACGTACATATACACGTAAAATAATAATTTTCTACGCGTCGAAAATATATAATTTTATATAATAAATAAAATTACATAATTGCCATAAGTTAGTCATATAGATCAAGAAATATGAGCAATGGATTTTGTACAAGGCCATACACCACATCCACTAAATAACTTACCATTTTTTCAATTCGGTCAGAGGCGTACACCCGTCATCCGACTTGACCAACGCGGAAGCTCCCCTGTCCAGCATCAACTTGACCACCTCCAGGTGACCGTTCCCGGCGGCGTCGTGCAGGGGGGTCATGCCGTTGCATTCGGCGCCCCCGCGGTCGTTTATGGCCGCCTTGTGGTCCAACAGAAGCCGGACAATGTCCAGGTGACCGTGCAAGGCTGCCTCGTGCAACGGTAGCCAACCGGCGTTGTCTCTGACGTTGACGGGGTGGCCAACGTTCAACCAGTACTCCATCTGGTGGAATAATTTAGATGTGTAGAGTGTCCCGAATAAAAATACAGTGTATTATATTATTAAGGTTCAAAACTAATTTTAAATCGCAGTAAAAGCAGTTACTATTTCTTCTAAATAGCAGTAAAAGAGAAAATATGTTCAGAATTTGATTCCACGTATATGTACCAAGATTTATACAGGGTGGCCCATCGAAAACGTTCCGCAAGGCATAACGGCCAGGGTAATTTTTTTTTCAGAAAATTCAAAACCACGTCAATTTTGTTTGTGAGGGGGACAACTTTTGCCCCAAAAATGATTGCAAAATCTTCAACCCTCTAAGCGGGGGTGTCATCCCCCAACTTTTTTCAAATGGGAAGGGGGTCAAGTGGTACCGCAATGAAAAGGGCTTTTTATTCTCTATACTTTCCCGCTTCGTTTTTGAAAATCGGTCGAGTCATTGAGAAAATATAAAGCATTGAAATTTGAAAAGTTATTTAAACATTTATCAGAGTAAATGATAAGGATAAATTCCTTCGACCAATTTGCTGTTTTTTCTAATTATTTCTGGATGTTTACGCATTTTTTCACTTGCCACAAGGTTGAACGATCAGGTGCGGCAGTTGCTAGATTGCTGTTCTGTGACTTGTGCGTTGAAGTTCTTCTCAATATCGTTAAACTTTTTAACAATTATAGTGTACTCACTTGCAGAAAAAGTGAAAATAATCGAACTTTATTTTAAAAATAATGAATGTAGCAATCGGGTTCCGCAGATATTCAATGAATTCCATCCTGAAAAACACCTTTATGGCAAAATTGTTCGCGAGTTAGCAGCAAAATTTCGCAAAACTGGTTCCGTTATGAATAAAAAAAAAGGCAGAGGGAAATCCCTGTAGTAAATGAAGCTATGGAGGTATTCGTATTGGGCCAAGTTGCCATGGATAGTACGCTGAGTACAAGAAAATTAGCCAATGCAAAATTAGCCGGCGTGAATCGTACCAGTGTCCAAAGGATATTAAAAAAACACAAGTTCCACCCGTACAAAATTCAATTGGTACAAGAACACAACGAAGACGATTTTGATCGTCGCTTGCAATTTTTTGAAACTGTGAGTGAACGAGTGGCGAATGATAATAATTTCCTATTTAATGCGTGTTTTTCGGATGAGTGTACTTTCTTTTTAAACGATGTAGTTAATCGTCATAACTGTCGGTACTGGGCTGAGGCGTTTTTCACGAGGTGAACACACAAAACCCTCAGAAATTGAACGTGTGGGCTGGTATTTTTTGAAATTCTATTTTGGGACAGTTTAACGATATTGAGAAGAACTTCAACGCACAAGTCACAGAACAGCAATCTAGCAACTGCCGCACCTGATCGATAAACCTTGTGGCAAGTGAAAAAATGCGTAAACATCTAGAAATAATAAGAAAAAACAGCAAATTGGTCGAAGGAATGTATCCTTATCACTCTGATAAATGTTTAAATAAACTTTTCAAATTTCTCTTTTTTTTTCAACTCTTCTTTTTTTTTAAACTTTTTCTGCAAGTGAGTACACCATAATTGTTAAAAAGTTTAACGATATTGAGAAGAACTTCAACGCACAAGTCACAGAACAGCAATCTAGCAACTGCCGCACCTGATCGTTCAATCTTGTGGCAAGTGAAAAAATCGTCGAAGGAATTTATCCTTATCATTTACCCTGATAAATGTTTAAATAAACTTTTCAAATTTCAATCCTTCATATTTTCTCAATGACTCGACCGATTTTCAAAAACGAAGCGGGAAAGTATAGAGAATAAAAAGCCCTTTTCATTGCGGTACCACTTGACCCCCCTTCCCATTTGAAGAAAGTTGGGGGATAACACCCCCGCTTAGAGGGTTGAAGATTTTGCAATAATTTTTGGGGCAAAAGTTGTCCCCCTCACAAACAAAATTGACGTGTTTTTGGATTTTTTGAAAAAAAAAATATCCTGGCCGTTATGCCTTGCGGAACGTTTTCGATGGGTCACCCTGTATACAGAAACTACTATAAAAATATATTTTTAAAGAGTTTTGTTATGTTTTTTTTAAGTTTTTTTTTCATACTGTGATTTTTCATACTGTAATTCTCTCTATGCATATTTTATTAGAACTTCTCTGGTTTTCCTTATTTATATTAGAAAGGAACTGTATGTATTTTTTACCATTTTCATGTCTCCTTTAATGGCGGCAACATGTAACGGCCACTCTCCATTGAGATTCTTCTTAAATTTCACTTTAGGTTGATTTCTTCTTCTCGTTGCAGGTTGAGCAGCACTGGGTTCAGTTACTTCATAATCGGAATCTTCCGACATATCTAAAACAATCTTATTTTCAAAACCTGTCGAAAAAACCTAGAATATTAGTCTGTCCAAGGAACGTTTCTGAAGGGTGACAGCATAATGCGAGAAAATACAATTTACCTGTAATTAGAATTACAGATAACTGTCACTGTCGTGTAACCTCTCATTTGGTGTCCTGCATTCGCGAACTTCGAGTTCCGGGCTTTACGCCCTGGGGCTACTCGAGAACGGTTCTCAAAGGAGCTGTGCGCGATAGCCTCGTGCCTCCATATGGCGCGGAACATTTCTGGAACTTTATGACTCAATTGAATGGAGTGAGAGTATCGCGTTCTTGAACAGTTCAGAGCTGCTCAACTGCGTGAAAGGAGGACCATAGGAGGACAGCAATTGGGGAGATTTTACATAGATTTTTTTTTATCCGCCACATAGGTATAGACATTTTTTACATGGATGTCAAACAACGTTGCTAAGTTTCGTTTGAACATGGTTTGAACTGATGGTAAAATACTTTGAATAAAAAGATTTAGAAAGGAACATATCAGAAATCTTAGATCGACCGCGACGGGTCTCTAAAATGGCCGACTTAAATTCCGGTTTATCAGTGCCGTTCTAATTTTATTCAAAACGTGTAAAAATATGATGTAGGGTAGACGTGGGTTAGACTCAATAATTTGTTGTTTTATTTTACGTTGTGAATAAATGTTGGTAGTTCTTAAAATTGTTATAAAAATATATCATTTTAATAAAAATAGATAAGTTATAATAATTATTTATTAACGACAAACATCCGATACGCTACTGAAGCAGGTAAGTCAAATTGACGTATCTAAATTCTTTGACATCTAATCTTTGACAAGTAGTAAATAAAAGAAAATATGCAAGAAAAAATATATAATTACTTAATTTTAAGTGAATTTCATAAATGATCGGTTTACTACACGTATGTATATTATACAGGTTGTTAATTTGTTTATTACTCGCGGCAAAAGTTTTATGGTTGAAATATGGCAAGCTCGGCCAGCTCGTCGACAGATGACGCGACGGGACGAGTCGACAGAAAACCCTATAAGTGCACGCGTTCTCAATAGGCAGTGTTGCCATTCTATTCCCCTATAAGTAACTGTCCAGTTAACAACCTGTATAGTCGCTTGCTAGCGAAAAGTTGTTCCATTATTTCCCCCGATTTTTGACCGAGATCTAGCGGACGCTTCACATCCAAATAGTTTACAGTCTTTTTCGATAAATTGCAATAGTGTCACTGTTAATTTATGTTCTGCCATCATTTCCTTCTAGATTTACTACCTCTAAACACCTACCAGTTAGAGAATAAATAATAACATAAAATAAGTTCAGTAAAGACTGACAAATCCACAAAATTTCAAATAAAATTCAAATGTGTCAAATGAATTGTCAAACGGAACTATCAAGAATCCCCACCCTAGAGCCCTACCACCGTCTACCCTGCATGAATACATGGATAGCATTATACTCCTTCATTAATCCTTTTATTTAAAGGTTTCACAAAATAAATATAACAACACGCTTATACAGATACTTTTATATAGTTTATGCAATGAGTTAGGGAGGATTTCGACAGACAAATAATGACAGGAAATACAATTTGTGTGGATTAAAATGACAGACACAAATGTCTCTGTCAGGGATAATCTCCCGTTGGATACTATATCCACTTACAGATATTTGTAAGTGTTTATATTCTATTTATATATTATATATTTGTAAAGCAGTTTTTGAAATATGACCAAACGAATATTTTAGACGAAGAAATTAAGGTTAACAACTATTTCCTTACCGCTAATATCACTTAGAACAATATCTGCTCCGACGTGCACCTTCCCAGAATCTTCGCTCTCGTTATCAGACGAAGAACTCGATTGTTCATCATCTCCTAAAAACTCGTTAATTTCGTTCAAACGCTGTGCACAATTATAAGCGTCCCCGTGACACAAATTTCGTCTCAAAAAATTCAAGTACCTAAAAAAGAAGCAACGCCTGTCAAACAAGAAAATCGTTTTTTGGTTCAAAATATGCAAAAATCGCTTTTTCATTTCAATTTTTTTTTGTTTTAACTATTTTTTAATATGCGTATATACATGGTTGTCCGAACATATTCTGCAGATGAAAATAAGTAAAAAAGTTCGTGTAAATTTATGTCCTAAAATGCGTAGTTTTGGAGATACAGGGTGTAGAAGTTTCGTTTTTATTTTGGTTTTTTCCAAAAGAAGATTTCCGTGATACTTTTTAAAAAACAAAGAAAAATTATTTTACATTTTAGAAAGGTCAGCATAGAATTTTGAACATCCTGTATGATTTACGATTACCATATTTATAGCAAAGTAAGAATAGACCATCTAAAGTAAATACCTAATACAGTTTAGATTTCAGGACAATTCTTGTATTTTTAATAATTTTTTTAAGAAAGCCTGGAAAATATATATTTTTTATTTATTTATTAATATTTCTGAAACTATCGAAACATGTTTACTCATATCTTAGGATTATGTAAAGTGATCTGAAAGGAAGCAAAAAATGCAATAGTATACAGGGTGTTCCATTTAAAAAAATCATCCCAATCTGCTCACACTTTTTTGAGGCATCCTATAGATATTAAAATATTTTCCTGAAATACATCCTCGTGCGTACTTTAGGTTTACACTTAAACAAGGAACTCCAGATGCCCGACGCACTATTGCCAAACCCTGTAGAAAAGTTTCTTTTTTTATTGAAAAAAAAAACTCATGGTCCTGTTTCTGGAATCGAATTATATTACCAGTTAAAATACTTGTACTTATTCCTGGGGACCCTGTATATAGTATTAATCATTCCTAAAATACAACCTTGACTAAATTACTTATTTACTTACCTAATAAGAATGATTTTTTCCTCCTTTAAATTGCTCTTCTTCTTACAATTATCTAAAGCTCTGTTATAAACAGTTTTTATTTCCTCCACATCGCTTTTGGCTTGCTCTTTCAAATCCACAATCTTACACAAAGTGTTTAAACTGTCTTTTAAATTGTTCTTGCACAATTCGTACTCTTTTTCAAAGTATACCTCCGCTTCCTGGTACTGGCCATTGTCTTTATATGTCTCTCCCAAACTGTAGTAACATTGTTGCAATTCTTTGTCGCTAGACCCGATCATTTCTGCCGTTTTCAACATTTTGTGATAATATTCGATGGCTTTAGAGAAGTTTTTCAGATCGCAAGCACCGTCTCCCATTTTTTCGTAAAGCTCTTTCAGTTCTTTTTTGTCGGTTGTCAGTATGATGTCGTCTTCCAATTTACACAATGCAGCAACTAAATGAATTAAGTTAAATATTGATAAAAAAATGGCGGAATAGTTGGCTTGGAAAAGAAGATCGCTGTCATTTTATATATAAAATTATCGCATAATATATACATATAATATTATAATGTATATTTGATATAAAGTTTGATATAAAGTTTGATATAAATTAAACATTTAGTTATGTAATCGAGGGCGCGATTTTTAAATTCTTTGTTGCCAACCATGAACATATTCCGCGCCAGGCTGACTAACTGGAATTTAAATTTCGCGCTGGGTTTTCAGGTGGTAGCTCTGCTGTAAAAAATGTCAGGTTGCCGCATTTATTCATTTATTTCCTGACATTGTCATTTGTTTTGACACTTTAGTTTTGTATTATGAGTTTTTGGTTTAAAAAAATAGTGTTGTGATACTTTAAGCCTTGAAAATGTTTACTAGCAGACCTTGCAGTCAAACATTGTTCTTTTTAGAACCTCTTTTAGTGTACAAGATAGCTTAATAATTAGAAATTATTAGAATATTTTGAAAGGAAAAGTGGTAGCAATGGCCCTTTATGTCCCTTAAGTGCTGTTAAGAAGGTGAGTTTTGTTGATGTAAATTAATAACTGTTTATATATTTATAATTATTTTATTTTTGTTTCCTAAAATATTTTGGTTAAAAGAAAATATATAAAAGTAGGCAACGCTGTGCTGGTGAAGCTTAATCACGTGACTAAAAGTTTATTTGGTATGAACTGTAACTTACCAACTCTTAAGTTCCTCTCAATCAATTTCCTATCTCCAAAATTTGGTGTCTTAAACTTATAGGCCTTTCTCAAGTAAGTCTTGGCTCCAGTAAAATCAGCTATTTTTATTAAAGTGTCTGATTTAGCTAGTAATGCAGCACAAACTAATTCTACACGTTTTGTACTTAATTTTTCTACAAATATAGAATTTTAAAGTATATCATATCAAACACTTTAAATTTCACACTAACTTACTTGCAATCTCTATTGCCAAATTAAATTGCTTGATAGTTTCTTGATATTTTTCCTGTTTGTCAAACAATGAAGCCATTGCCATTCTTCCTCGATACATTTGCTCATACAGTTCATGTTTCACACAAATTTTTATACTTTTTTCATATAAATTTAAAGATGTCCCGTATTCACCTAAATTTTCTTTTACTAAACCTAAATTAGCAAAAAGGCGCGCCAACATGTCCTGCTTTTCTATATTTTCTGGAAGGTTTTCGCATTTCTTCAAACTTTTCATAAAATACTGATATGCCTGAATCAAATGCTTCTTGTGATCCTCACTGACTATCTCTAAATACCATGTTAAGTACATGTGACCTAACTGAGCTAACGCTCTTTGTTGTTCTAATATATCGTTCTCTTGAATGGAGACATCTAAGAAATATCAATTATAAATTAAAAAGCAAACATCAGTAAACCAAAGCACTCACTTAAATATATCTTAAAGTGTTTATAAGCGTTTTCAAATTCGTGTAGACCCATATATGCTTCACCTATACCTCTATTAGCTTGAGCAAATAAAATCAATTTGTTATCTGATTTGTATAGATTAGAAATGATTTCGTATTCCTGAATAGCTTTCTTAAATTTATCTTCTGATAGGTAGTATTCAGCTAGATCTGTACAAGCTGAGATATAAGCAGGATCGTTGCCAAAGGCTTTTTGTTTTTTCTTTAACAATTCTAAAAGGGTAACGTCTATATTAAGAAAAATAATGTTAAATAATATTGCAACAAACGTTACTTTTCTCTTCCATTGTTGTTGGTTATAACAAGCACGATATATTAATGGCTATTCCGGTACATTTTTGGTATTAGATAATCCTTTTATAGTTTATGCTTAACAAACATAGATTTAAACATTTCTTATCTTATATAAATGTAAAATAAGCGCGGTATTTTAATAACAAAACAATGTTTAGAAGACAAGTAAATATGGTTAGAACTCAGAATTCTTCTTCTTTTTTTAATTCATTTAAAGGCCTAGGCTACTAGGACTATCCGGCCTATTAATAGGGTTACCACTCTCTACACTGATATTAGAGATGTGGGGTTCTAGAAACAATTATCGATATACATCGATTCGATTCCATAATATCCAGACAAGGATGGGTGTGTGTGTACATTTGAACTATTATTTTTTTGCGCTTTGATCAGGGATGGACGCAAAAAAAAAAACAAATTTAAGAATAATAAAATATCTTATTCTTATAGGAAACAATTCATTGATTTTATTTCGAAAATGTATTTAGGTTGTAACAGCAAACTAAATTAAAACAATATGTATTCAATTAATCATTATTTATGATTTATTGCACTTAATATCTAATAATAAAATAGCACCATACAAGATTTAAATTCATGGAAATGTCGCGTAATATACAGAAACATAAATAAACGTAAACAATTAAAACTGACCTGGAAAAATAATATACGGAATACTTTTAAGTAATACTTATAAATGCATAAAGTTATAAATTATAAAATAAAGTAATTTTAAGTTATAAGGCTTGTGGGCTTGTGCTGTATCTTCTGTTCTTGAATGGCTGTCCTAGGCGGGAACCTATAGTTTCTACGTGAAAACCAATTCTAAGAAGGTTGTTGTGATCTAGGATTTTTCTACCATCAAATATATAAGCCGGCTTCATCATTTGATCGTAGATCGCCTCATAATCTAGAGTCTGTAATTATAAAATATAAGAAATGAACTACCAATGTCAAAACTAAGTCTGTCCAACGAGTCAAAGAAGATTTCGACAGACGTGAATTAAAATGACAAATACAACTGTCACTGTCAGGGTTCTTTTCCTTGTACAAACTAAAATAGCATTTTTTCTCATTCTCAACTGCAAACTCATCTGTTATATCAAATTTTATAGAAACAAGAAGTCAATATGACGCAAAAGAAAAGAAAAATAATTTCATTTAACAAATTGGGACTGAAAATTAAGAGATATAAGGTATAAAACAACTTACCACAAATTCGTCCCATTCTGTACACAAAATAATGGCATGGCAGTCCTTGGTGGCAGAATAGGCATCCTTGAAAATTGATAAGTGACTTTCAATGTGTTCAGGTGTGATTCCCACATACTTCAAGTCTTCATGGATTTGAGAATTCTCCACCTACAGAAATATCAAACTTATTAATACAAAAAAAACATTTTGGCATTGCGAGACCACTGATAAGGATCCACGGAATCCGTAATAATATCTATTTAAACATTTACCTTAGGATCGTAGATACTAATTGACGCTCCCTCATCCAGAAGAGTCTTTGCTACATATATCGCTGCACTTTCTCTAGTGTCTCCCGTGTTTTTCTTGAAGGCGAAGCCCAATATGCAGATTTTCTTACCGCTGACCGTGTTTAGCAGGGATTCGATCACTTTGGCGGTGAATCGGTGTTTTTGGTGTTCGTTCATGTCGATCACGCTCTGCCAATAAGCAGCTTGCTAAAGAAAACCAAAGAAAAAACTGTGTACTCTTAACTGTAGATATATTAGAAATCTATACTGTGACTGTAAGGTTCTACAAATATTGTCACTAAAAAACAAGCTTAAAAATCAAAATTTATGATTTATATACAATAAAACACTAGATTCAGAATGCAGGGAGATGAATATCTTAGTGGTGACCTCACCATGTCACTTTGCTTGTTTGAATACATTAATTGGTATAGTCACCACCGTAACTATTGTAATCGCAAAACATTTTCCGATGCACGTCATCAATCATATCGAAATTGACACTAAAGTCTATAAATCAAAATAATCTAAATAAAATTTTGGCAAAAATGTTTAAATTTGTGTGTTGATACCGAGCAGCTCTTAATTTTACTTTATAGAGCAAACGATTGTAACAGATATTTTATTTATATTAAAGCTGAAAAAATTATTTAAACCGAATTGCGCCGTGTTCAGCAATGTTGTGCTTTATTATTTGACAATTATCCTAGTGTCAGTCATTACTTTGTATAATATCGTGTTGTTGTTGAATCTTTGTGAGTAATTCTCGCTAACAGTTCTTTTAAAAACTAAATTTTCGAGTTTTTGTATTCCATTTCTTGAAATTGTGTGTTGAAAATAATATGCCAAAGCATTTAAACAGTCGAAGCAAAGAGCTTGTAGCTTCCCTGTTTTTTTTTTAAACTATTTTGAACGAGGACGTCACAATAAAGGTCCTTTATTACCCTAGACTGCAGTCAGAAAAGTAAGTTTTATTGATAAGCACATTATACCACTTTCAAAGTTAGTTTTTATTAAATTCTGTGATTATTAGTTTGTGCATTAATAGCACCCTCTTTGGGGTGCCTATATGTAAGGTTTTGCCTATATGTAATAAGTAAAATGAGCTATAAAACAAATAAATCAATTAATCACTAAAATATTAGTTATTAAATTAAAAATAAAACGTAAAACTCTTTAAACTAAGAGTCATCTCATAAATCCATCACAATCTGGCAGCGCTGTCGCCATCGCTAGTCACTAAAGTTGATCGCGTGCATCGGAAATTGTTTTGCGATTACCAATTCTATCAATTCCCAATTTTCCCTTGGGTTATAATGTCTATAAAAAAAGAAAACCAACTCACCTGAGGTAGATTGAGACACTCGCAAATGTAGACCAGGTTGAGAATGTCCTTTTGGAAACAGCTCCCGCCGAAACCCGTAATTTAAAATAAATACATTTAATTAAACCAGTCCCAGATAATAATAACACAAAGAACAAGAAAACAGTTCAAATTTACAGAAAAAAGTTAAAAGTGACGTGCACAAAAATGAGTTAGTTTTGCATTATTATTATCACATATTAATGTTATTACTAACGGTAACGATACACGTGAAATATAACTAGAATTAGGCCATATAAAATATAAATAAGCAAATTCATATAGGTTTGGTGCATTTCAGTTGATTTCAAAACATTCCGACCGCGGCGCTGTATACGGCAGAAAGCAGAAATTTTCGCCATGTATTTCGGGCCGTCCCGGTTACAGTTCATGGTGATCGCATTAAAATAATATTGAAATCGTGTCTTTGTCATAATATTTAAGTATTTTAATTTCTTACTAGTGCAGTTATTGAGACTATAAAACACTCAGGTACGAGGTTTGTGTGATGTAACGCTGTTTCGGGTAGTAAAAAATAAGTGAAAAAGAATTCGAACAAGGCGTCGTGTCGTGTTGTGACAACTTCAAATGTTAATAAAATTGCCGAAAAAATGTTAACGTGTAAAGGAGAGCGTAATTAGGGCGTTGTTGGGTGCAATAACTGTCAATAACTCAACTTTCCCGGATATTCAACTCTCCCGAAACAACATTTTATAGCTTCATAGTTTCTCACACCGATTTGATCAAAAGCAAAAATGGATTCAAGCACTTCGTCGAAACAAGTGAGTAAACAAAGTGCTCGTTACATAATCAAAAAAATAAATAGACATATACTATGAGAGGATAAAATATAATTTGCAATATTAATGGTATACTTTTTTGTCAGTAATATTGTATTAGTAATATTTCTACATTGATGTCTTAAATTTAATCTAGTTATATTTCTAAAATAACGTTTAATGAAACGAAGTGACTGTTATACAAAAGAAACCCACTTACCAATGGAAGCCTGTAAAAATTTGGGTCCTATTCTGGAATCGAGCCCCACAGCTCGGGCTACCTCGGCTATATCCGCTCCTGTAGCTTCGCAAACAGCGGAAAGAGAATTTATACTTGATATTCTTTGAGCTAACATGGCATTGGCAGCCTGAAATACAATATAACAAATTCTTGAAGTCCGTCTCTGTTTTTTACTTGTACAGCATTGTCACCGATTAAGTATATTATTATTAGATATTATAACTAGTTTTTTTCTTTGTTCTTTGTGTTTTTTGCTTCCGCCGACGGAGACATACTTTCCGAAACTTTAAGCATTTTTTTGTCCGTTAGACAAATTGGTTTGCTAACAATTAGGGTTCGAACTCACTGACGACCAGGTCGCAACGACCTGGCCGTCGGCTGGCAAATATACTATATTTTATAGCTATATATATATAATATTTTATACTATATTTTATAGGCAAATATACTATATTAGTTTATAGCTATATATAATATATATAGCTATAAACGCAATACATCCGGTATTGCGTTTATAGCTGCGGCCAGATGAACGACCAGTTTCAACAGAGTTGTCAGATCTAACGATTTTTTACGTTTTACCAATTAGAAAATAGAGAACAACGGCATACGGTCAAGTCGGCCGCTGCTGGCACGTATACGTAGACGTAAAGCATCTTTTACGTGTATAAAAAATAAGAGATATAAGAAATGCGCATGCGTACGTAAACGTGTACGTGTTTGTAGGCCGACTCGACCGTATGCCGTTGTTCTCTAATATTGTTTCAGAAAGAATTAAGTTTCAGAAATGTTATAATATCCGAGTTAACTAAAAAGCGAAGTTGCTATTCATGAGCTTATTAAATGTTCTAATATTAAATACTGCATTTAAAATATTCTTGGATTTATCGTTAATAAATACTGGTGTGGTAAATGGAGTAAGTAAAATCTCCATCCCCAACTATACGATGATGTCGATATTTCCATGTTTTTCAAATCCGGGATGCCTGCTATTCCATCAGTCGTTTCATAACAGAATATTCTACATCCTACGTTTATGCAATTTAATATGTGTAGAATGAGACATGTAACTCGTGATATTTTCAGCATTATATCAATAAAGGACAAAAACAGTATTGTTTCTAAAGGTGCGTCCAGACTTAGGCATTTTAGCCCGAACGAACCGAGCGCGCACGAACAAGCAGAACAAATAGGCCGAACAAAAAGCATTGTGTACGCGCGACCGACAAAAAGGGAGATATTCCGTTTCTTTTTTCTACTGATATGGACTTCTACTGATGGCTCTTATCGACTTTAGAAGTAAACATATTAGGGCCATCGTAAAAAGAGGTCGTGTCAGACACTGGCTTTAAATATAAGCAGGTAGAAAGTTTGGCTTCCAGTTTAAATACTTCTATTTTTATGAATGTTTAAGTTACTTTTACTCTTAATTTTTTTAAAAAATAATGTACCTAGTAGCGATGGGAACTATCGAATGAATTAGACTATCGAATTGTTAATGAATGAATGATTTCAACTATCGAATGGTTTTATTCGAATAAAATCATTCATTCATTTGTATAGTAAAGCATATGTGACAACCTCGCCGTGCGACTAAATGGTTATCGTTGAGCCACGACTATCGAATGATTTTGATAAATGAAATTTAGTATTCCTTTGATTTTTGTATGCGTCAGTGCTTATTAGTTCTTCCAAATTTTTATAACTTCGCCGTATAAATACTGTGCTATTTTTGCGTTTATTAAAATAGTTAAAATACTAAAATAGTAGTTATTTTTTAATTTTATTTATTGACGATTGTGTGCATGTGCAGGTGGTCAAAATTTTTCCGAAAATTTGTGTGGTTTTCCGTAGTCCGATCTTTCAATTATTTAATTTTATATGGTATATGGCTATAATGGGAAATTTTAAGAAGTAGCAATTTTTAAGAGAGATGAGATGAACTTACAATTAATTTTAAAAATACATATTTGTATTTTAGATGTTTTAATAATATGAATTAGTTGAACTTAATAATCATATTTAAGTAATGTAGTTAAGTAAATGGTTATCGAACTCAAACTATGGGGTGAGAAAATTAAAATAAAAGTTTTACACGTGCCAATTTAAAAAAAAAAGTTAACGATGTTTGTATTTTGTTTATGCTAATTCTCTTACATGTACTATTTTGCGAAGAAATATTTCATTTATTTTTTAAAGTAAATGCCAGTAAAAGTAAATATAATTTTTAAATAGTAATATAAAGCACCTAATATAAATAATTTTGATTTCTAATTTTTTATTTATATTTTCCTTCCATTACACTGAATGCTTAGAAAATTAATAAATGTTTATATTTCATGATTTTAAAATTTGTTCTTAATATAACAAATTAGTTCTGTAATTATTATTATTTAATAAACCAACGTTGCCACACACAAAAAATTTAGAGACTATATTATTTTTAAATAGGATCTAATATAAATAATTTTGACATCTAATTTTTTGTTTATATTTTGCTACTACTTAAAAAAAATATTTATATTAAATGATTTTAAATTTTGTTGGTAATGGGTATAACAAATTATTACTGTTATTATTATTTATTAAACTAGTCTTTGCTTAAAAACATTAAAAATCATTTTCCTACATCCAAAATAACAAGTATTATTGCAGTGTAACAACAGAATATTAATAAAAAAATGCAGAATATATAGACATACTAACCTTAACCAAAGTTTACAGAATATTCTGTAAACTTTGCCTTAACTAACTAAAGCCAAACATTAATATTCTTTGCTAATATCAACTAATACCAAAATATGGCAACAGCTCCCTTCATAATGTATTTTCTGTGTAAATACTAGCACCTCAATAAAAAAAATAATGTGTCCTTATCTATATCTGACTCCGCAAAAAATTAAAGATGCCGGCTTCTTTCATAGCATTGCCACCGACCGCTGTCGGGTTTCTCGGAAAGAAACCTACGTCGCCGGGCGACAACTAAAATTCAGTTAATATTTTATTATAATCGATCCTGACGAATAAATGAATTTCATAAATGAATGAATTTTATAAATGAATGGTTTTTGCTGCCGAATTACTAGAATACAATATTTCAAGGCAGATGACGGATCTATTCGATAATTTTTATTCGAATAGTTTTCAACGAATGTTTTCTTACTAACTATCGAATTATTCGAATGAATTGCAACTATCGAATGTTTCGATAGTATTCATTCGATAGTTCCCACTACTAGTACCTAGTAGAAATATAGTCTAATGGACCCTGTTTGAAAAACGTTAAATTAAATATAATATTTAAAATACTAATTATATATAATATATATATTATAATTTATATTAGTATATATTAGTTATATATTTATATTAGTTATAATTAACAGGTATCATACCAACCATAAATAGAGTATGTCATATAAAAATGTTTTGAACTTTTACTAGAATCGATCCTTGATAAAAAAAGGGACTAGATGTAAGTTTCCTTTTGATCCAGTCTATATACTATTTCTTTGGATTTTCTGCACGTGTGCAAGAACTACACTAAAACACTATGTCTTATAGAAAATAAAATATTGTGCGTTGAATTTGAGGGATTTCATTTGAAAAATTATTAATTTGGAAGAAAACCGGCAACAAGCGGCAGAAAATATTAATATTTTAGTGCAGTCTACTGGTCGCAACGACCAACGGACGGCCAGGACGTTAGTGTGCGCGGTATCATTTGATTTAATGGTTTTAGAGGTAGCAGACCTGGTCGTCAGTGTGTTCGAGCTCTTAGTCTCCGTTGGATTAACGCCAGCAGTGTTTACAAAAAATAACTATTTTATTTTGTAGATTTCCTTTAACTGAACTTTTTTGAAGACACCATGTTATTTTTTTGTACAATAATAATATTCGTGCTTATAAAATAAACAAAGTAACGACACGTTTCTTCAAATTATTTAATAAAAAATACTTCAAATATTGACGCAAACCATGTTTAATGTGCAACTTTAATGGGGATTACTTTAAAAGCGAGTATTTGTTTCAAATAATTGCTTCCCTGAAATAAAAAGTAGGAAAATTTTAAGTACATACGCATTAAATAGGTACATATTTAAAAAGAGATTAACAAAATATTTACTCACAAAGACCTACCATTATAAACACACAGTAGTTATTTAATTTATATTAAAATATAGGTATTTGAATATTTAAAAGATTTAAATTTTAACCAGAATTACATAAATACATAATTTATAATGCTAGCAAAAAAAATCATATTTTTATATCTTCAAACACACCTTTTCTATAAAATTCATTATTAAGACTGTATACATAGTCTTTTTTACAAAATATATTTTCTTTGTTTTTAGAAGATAACTTATTTTACTTTATTTTTTATTATGATTTGATAAATATTAAATAGAATGTATATAAAAATGTCATACAAAATCGTAAAACTATACATGTATATCGATTTTTCAAAATAGTATATTATTCCTTTATCTACAATTTAAAAAATCAAACTTACCAATTTTGAAAGTTCACTGGACCATGTATTGGTTGTAAGAATTCTTTTCCTGGGAATCCAATGTTCATAAATTTGGCACAACTCTTCTATTGCTGCTTCACCAGCGGGTGACTCTTCACCTCCTATAAGTACTCTGTCTGCGTTCAGCAAATCATTTATGGCAGTACCTAAAAATCACAATAATTCATGTTATATAACAATAACAACAGCTAGTAATAAATAGCGTTAAGTCTGTCTAACCTGACGGGTAAAACGTTATATGACTAAAATATGTTAAATAATGTTTTTTCTATTCCCAAAAAATGTTTTATAAATATACAAAAAATAAACATGTTTGTTTTTTAACTTTACCTTCAGCTAAAAATTCTGGATTGCTCAAGATCTGGTACGAAACTCCAGGTCTTTGATTAGCCTTAAGGATTTTCATAATGCTTTCTGCAGCATTTACTGGCACTGTACTTTTTTCCACCACAATTTTGTTACTCTGAGCTACATCGGCTATCATTCTAGCCGCTCCTTCCACGAATTTCAAGTCGGGCGCTCTTCCCTAATGTTAAAATATGTTGCAAGTAAAATTTATGTCCCAATTTTATTATATAAAAAAGTATTAACCACACACACACACACAATCAAAAGCAACAAATTTATTTACTTTTTATAAATCACACTAGTTAGATATCTGATACTGAAATTTTAATGTCCACATATTGGGAGTTAAAATCATGTTAAAATAACGAAAAAGTAAAACTGAAAAAAAAAACGGGATTATCCATTTTAGAATAACCAATTTTTTTTAAGAAGAATGCATTTTCCTCTAAATGTCAATAATAAAAGTTTTTTTTTTCTCTATTGTAAAGACAATCTGGGAACATATTACAATAAATATGAAAGTCAGGGCGTGATTAATTTCATTTTTAAAAAATTATTTTTTTTTAATTAATTATTAATAATTATAATATAATTAAAAAAAAAATATCGATATTTTTCAACATCCCTAATTTTAAACAAATGAATAATCAAGACTCCAAAAATTTTTAAATTCCTATTTTCTTTTCATTTCAGTTTATCTGACCATTCAAAAATAAACAAAATTTTTTCCTTCCTTCAGGTAAGTTTTATTCTATTAATTTATTGTTTTCCGACGATAATTTCAAGGCTATCTAATTGATATTTAATAATTTTGAATATGTAATCATCTTTTAATTCAAAAGTAATTAATACAAGGTTTAACTGAGCTAATAGACAAAAATATTCTTACCTTGCCATTACCAAACGTCTTTGTTGGCGTATTGACTGATATAAAGATGAGATCGGCCTCCAAAATTGCCGCGTTACAATCATGAGAAAAAAACAGATTTTTTCCTCTACATGCTTTCACCACCTCGTCTAGTCCCGGCTATAAAAAATTGATAAAAAGATAAATAAATGATAAAAATTACTTCCTAAATAATCCTATCTTGAAAGATGAACTTTCTTACCTCATAAATAGGTAATTTATCGCTGTTCCATTGCGCTATTCTTTCCTTGCTTTTATCCACCACCGTTACTTTGATTTCGGGGCATTTTAAAGCTATGACACTACAAGTGGGACCCCCTACGTACCCAGCTCCCAGACAACATATATTTTTTACAACCATATTGTACAAGGTTTATTTTTTAATAAGAATATCTTAAGTACTTCTTGTTCTAAAAATTTATAATAAGAAAAAGTTTTTAATAGACTTTTATCTCTTCTAATCAAATATCACTGAAGTGAAATATTTCAAATTATACTTCTTGTAGATACTATAAACTTAATAAATCTTATCAATTCAAAAAAAATATACTGACTTCTAAGAACTTATACACTTCTAGTAAAAATAGTGCTTGTTATGAAACAAATTGTATTAGATTGAACGATAAAACAACATTTAGTAAAGATAATTACCTAATTCTTACCTGAAACTGCTAAGAAATCAGTCCGATTCTACAAATTAAATCCTTTTGGATATGAAAACAATCCACGTAGAAGACGCGTTAGTTAAATAATCTACGTGGAAGTAACAAAAAAACGAGACTCATTTGGCATTGAACATTATCGCGTCTTTAGCTATAAAATTACCATCAGATTACTTTTCCCGATAGTGAGAAAATCCCTTTTAATCTCTTTTAAATAATTCGTTTACGTGTACACTTGTTTTATTTCCGTACATCACATCGGCTTTTAAAAGAATATTTTTAAGGTTATGGTCCTTCCCGTCCTTCTCCTTCTATTATTGGATTTTAATACCTTCTATAAAATGTTCTATATAATTTTAATTAAATAAAACAAGACACTTTCATTAATAACATTTGAATAAAATATAAAGAATGATTTGAATTCATATTTTAAAGGTAAAATTTATAAAAATTGTTAATTGTGTTAGGCAACTAAAAATACACGTTTTTTTTACATAAACGTCAATTGTCAACACTAACACCACAGCTAACACTAACCTTACTTGAAAATGGTATCATGGTTGGCGCCGGTCGGACGTGAAAGACGGTTGAGCGTAAAAAAATCCTTTTTCTGAGATAGAATTTAATTCAGGTTCCAATTTCCCATTGTTGTTAGTTCGTACTTGTTTTTGGTGAGTGTTTTCCATTTTATTAAGTAGTTTTAGTTTTTTGCTTATATAATCCTAGCCTTAAAATCCTGAGAAAAACGTCTAATTCGGATGACAGTAGCAATAAAGACGCAATTAAAAAACCCAAACAGAAACAAGAGATGAGACATTTAAAAGGCAAAGAGAGTATATTCAAAAAACCGCAAAGAACAGCTCCTAAAAATTACATTACCAGGTTTGTCACGTATCCTTACACTATTCAGTCTTTTATTTATTGTTTTTAATTCTAACAGAATGCCAGACTTTAAGAAAAACCCTCACAAATGGACTAAATATTCTTTAGAGGATGTACAAGAAATCACAGATGAAAGTAACAAAAAATCTGCTATGGATTTTCTTAAACAACTTGCTAATAGGAGAAAGTTGGAGCAGGGTTTGATGGAAGACGAAAAAATGGACGATTTACCATCAAAAATAGTTTTTAATAAGCATATAAAAAAGAATTCTAATGACCAAGGTATGTTAGATTTAATAATATTGTATTTCTTATTAAATAAGTATTGCAGAAAAAGTATCAGAGACACAAAGCACAGAATCAAACAGTGAAAAATCACAGTTATCTTTCAATCACTCAAAAGTAATTATGCCAGAGTACAATATAGGACAAAAAGTACCCAGAAAGAACAGAAATTTAAAGAGAAACAAACCAGAGAAAAGTAATGAATTGAGGCTGGATCATTTAGATTTTGAGGATGAGTAGTTCTATAGAAAAAATAAAACTAATTTTAAGGGTATATCAATATAAAAATAATATATATTTATTGTGTAGGGTTACAAATCCTTAACGATAAAATAAAATCTTCACCTAAAAGAAATAAATGCGTGTTACTAGCAAATAAACCATGTATATCCTGATTAGGTAAATTGAAAACTTGCTGTTGAGCGATATTTTTTATTCTTCTACCTGTCGTGCGATTTCTTAATTGCACAGATAAAAGAGGTTTGTTTTGCTTGTAGATAAATATATGACCGGATGTTTCACAGATTACTGCATATTCTAAATTCGGCGAGCATGTTACAAACTTTCTATTCTGTTTAGAAGCCTTAAAAAGAATTTTTGGAAATATTAATTTGAAAATTATAAAGTACTTTGTTTACCTGCACATAACCAAATGCCAACAAGGTGCCTTCATGTTTAATTTCAAAATTTCCACTTTCCAAAAATGGCTGCCATAGACAGACATCAACATCGTGTCTTATTCCTAGAGCTCGGGAATGATGTGAATTTAAATACGGTTTCAGAATCACTTGATGTGATCCTAAATGTATCTTGTGAGTGGTTGAGTTAGTAATACTGCTTATTCTTGAAAATGTTTCTGATTTATCTGACTCAAAGTCACATTCTTCAATTTGCTGGGAGTTAAATGTCGTTCCTGATTGTGGTGTAGTCTAGAATTACTCTATTTATTTATGTAGGTAATTTAGGAAATAAGACACTTACTTCTGTTTGCTGGCCATCAGATCTAAATCTTCCAACCGTATCATTAACTTGGTCTATTATACATGAATTTAAAACGTACTCTCCTTTGGTATCACCTTTAACTAATTCATTCCAAAATTCAGAATTTTCTTGTTTATTCAAGTTGACCACTAAAAGATTATTAGGTTCAACAGTCCAAGTAGTAAGATTTGGATCAATTTTCTCATGCAACTCTCCAGCAAGTAACACTTTTGTGCCATACTCTATATTAATTTTATCAACCTCAGTTTTTACATTTATCAAAGTTTTTTCAGCGTCTTCAGGCAAAGAAAATTCAACCGATATATCTTCTAGAGTTTGAGACCATTTGTAATCTTTTGTTGTTGAATTTGATGATGTATTATCTTCCTCAGTGTTAACAGGATGTTCAGAGTTTAATTCAAACCTTATATCATTCTCCGATACTATGTAAATATGATCACCTTCTTCCTCTAAGTGTAAATACTGTATTTCACCTTTTGTTTTAAGTCGTCTCAAAGCAGTTTGGCCCCATGAGTCACTAACATCCTTTATTTCCTTGAATGTTAACCAATGAATCACAGAAACGAATCTTTCTATTGGATCTTCTTCAATATGCAGAAGAAGCACATGTAATTGATTACTGCTTTCATGATACATTGCATCCGTAACAAGAAAACCCTGTTCTTCGTTATCAAGAACTTTTCCAGCAAACAGAGTTTCAAAAGAATCATCATCTTTCTTGTCTCTTGTACCCAATATGTATATTGTTCCCATTCCATCTGAAACCACTGCTAATTGGGGACTAGCAAAACAAAAGGTTACATTATAATCTCCTGATTTTTGTTCCCTTGGTCTTGGTATAGAATAGACAGTGATGGGATTTATTAAATCATGAGTATAAGAGTCAATATAAGTTTTCTGAACGTTAAGACTCTTGTCAATGAAATATACTGAGTTAAATCCATCGTATTTATCGGATATTAAATGGTTGTGCAATCCGAACAGTTTTGCGTGTAAGAAACTGTATTGACTTGAGTTTAATAGAATTTTGTCAACTGGTGTTTCTAAATTTTTTCTGGAAACTGGTATTTCTTCAAGTGAAAGTTTGTAGCCATCGAAACTTGAATCTAGCAGTAATCTATTCGGTTTAATTTCTAAGACACTTGGTGTTGTAGAAGTCATTTTTGCAATCGAAAACGATCGTAAAACGATTTGTTTTAATTGTTTTTAATTACATTAGTAAAATAGTAAAATTACTAAAATTAGAAATTAAAATTAAGGTTATGTTATTTGTCAAATTAATTAGAGATGAGATAAGTTATCGATATCGATTATATTTACGAGTCTTTGGTAACCAAGGATGAGTATTTTTTACGCGTAGTTAAGCTAACGCGAATTTAATACTCATTTCTATAGAAAGAAGACTTACCAGCTGATTAATAAAGTAACCTCTCCAAAAAATAAATTTAAAAACAAACAGAAGCTCTCCAGAAACAATATTAAAATTTGAAACGCAAGATTGTGTTTTTTGTATTATATAATACTTACTCTTATTATATAATTAGGTCTTAAATTAATGTAAAGGTAGAATAAAAACAATGTTGAATCAAATAATTTAATAAGTAATAGATCATAAATATTATGAGTTTAATAAATCACCATTTCAGGTCATAATATAAACTATGGATATAAATTAAATACTTTTAACAATATTCTCACAAGCACTTTCTACAGTAGGATATTGAAACTTAAAACCAACCTCTTGAGTTCTTTCTGGCAACACTTTCTGGCCTTCGGTGATCATTTTCGCCCTTTCTTTGCCTAATATCACGTTAAACACTAATTTTGGTGTGGGGATATATGCCGGCCTTCTCAAGGCTTTAGCAAAAGCCTATAAAAATAATTTAATATAAAAAACATTTAATACAGATGACTAAATGACTTACAATAGAAAATTCCTTGTTTGTGCACGGGTTTGGAGCAACCCCATTCAATACACCTTCAACTTTGTCGTTTTCTATAGCAAAAATAATTAACTTGACTAAATCATCTATATGTATCCACGGCATGAATTGTTTTCCATCTCCTACCGGTCCTCCCAATCCCAGGAAAAATGGAAAATAAAGCTGTTTAATCATACCTCCATCTTTACCCAATACAACTCCACTACGTATTGAGATAACCCTACAGTGATTCTTTGATAGACTGTCTAAGCTCGTGGCTTTCTCCCATTCCAAAACAAGTTTAGAGAAAAAGTCAAACGGTTCTGTTTTGCTACATTCTGTATATTCTAAATTACAGTCTGGTTTATAAATTCCTACACCCGACATGGTAACAAAAGCCTTGGGTTTGACTGAGGCATCGTTTATTGCTTTGGCTAGGGAAGCGGTGGTATTTACGCGAGAACTGACAACATTCTGCTTAAATCCCGGTGACCAACGCTGTTTAAAATCCATAACATTCTGTCCTAAGAAACAAAGTACAGTCGTAATTCTTTTAATCAAATATTTTACATCTACCTGCTAAATTAACAACAGCTACTGTATCTTTCGGTAGACCTGCATTATTTAACTGGTTCCACGAGATATGTTGTGGGCCCGGCATTCGAGATACAATAGTAAATCCATAGTTCTTATTCTGAAGAGCGGTTCTTAAATGTTTTCCGACAAAACCAGTTCCTCCTCCTATAACAATTTAATGAATAGATATTTGAAATTTCCCTTTTTTCGAAAACTAACGTACCTATAAGAACGTTTCCCGACATCTTAGATAAGTGTAACTACTACCTATAATTTTTAAACATAAAGACGTTTCTTTAATAATAAAATTTCTTTCATAATAAACACCAGATTCTCTTGCTGTACTTGTTTATTTTTGATGTTTTCTTTGTCTAATACTTAACCATAGATTATAATTTAGATATTCTCTTCTTATTAGTTTTACGGCTTAAATTGGCAGGACTATACGGCCAATACTGGCCGAATGACCTATATAAGTTCAAACCAATTAAAGGAAAAGAAGAAAAAATTTATATCAAATCTATGGGTGTTTGTATTTCGAGCCATAATTAAAAAAAAGAAGAACATTACCTTTATTCTGTGGTTATAGTTCTTTTAAGACCTGATATTCGAAAAAGAAGAAGAATGCAGGTGGCGCCATTGTTGAAAAGTGAGAAAATTTGGAACTAAAATTTTTCCAAGTTTGCCAAGATATTAGCGAAATCCTGTAACTAATCAAAAGCAATATTTTTGTAAGTCTAAAATAAATTGAGCCGTTGAGCCGTTACAAAATCATGATAAATCTAATAAACATTTGATAAACTTTGTTTCAGTAGAATAAATAACATGTTTTCTTTTAGACACACCATTATTTATGCGGCAAAAAATGACCATTCAGTTTTACATTTACAATTTACATATGTTCAGTCTGACAACGTTAGCAGTTAGCAGCACATTTCCGTTGTTAGCAGTGCCATGCATATCTCAATTTTTATAATTTTTTGATAGAAAAAGTGATTTTTCTGGGCACTATTTTAGTTTATTCTGTTCCTTAAGACCAGTTTAATCTGCTGAAAATGTAAGTACTTTTTATGTTACCTATTTTCTATAAATTTTTTCACTTTCAAATATTTCAATTACATCATCATTAAAAGCTTATATTTTTCCAATTTTCATACTTTTTTTTTCAAAATCGAGTATATGGAAATATAAAATATAGATACATACTTTGATGTCCCTATTATACAATCAAAATAAAGTTACTTAGAATATGGCTTCATTTAGATTTGATATTTTTTCGGCCATTTTTTATTGTTGAATTTCAAGATGTTATTTTTATTCCTCAAGATAATTTTTTAGGTGTTTGCTCGTACAGACAATCGAGTATTTTCTACGTCTTTTAGAATAATTCAGTGTTGTATACCCAAAGGTGCCCCCATTCTCCACAATTACATAATACTTTCAGATTGCAAAAAAAACGCTTTTAGGTTTTAACCATAGGTTTTAACAGACACTGTCGTCATATTATGCTAGTCAAATTTGCAATGATTTAAAATGCTTTAATAATTATAATTTTATTTTTTTTAGGAATGCACACCCAGCACATAAAGACCACTTAAAAGAAGAGACTTGGCTCGCCCCTTATATAATTCTCATGTTTGGCTATCATTCTGGTTTACGAGATTGGTTTTACATTATCCGATTAAAAGTAAGTTTATTTTATTATTCAAGGTAATTTTAATAAATTTATTAACTGGTTATTAACAGACTCACCATATTTTTAAGATATATTTAACATTAATACAAAACAAAAAAAACAAGTATTATAACATACCTAATTATTAAAATGTAGCATTATTTATTTCTTTTTTACAGATTTTGTACAACAAATCCATGGATGTATACTGTTCCAAGGCAGTACATTTACCTTTTGATGAATATTACGAACAATGCATCAGAACTTTACAAGTATATCTATAATTTTATTTCTTTCGGGTAAATATATTTTTACTGGTATTTAATGTTCATCAGTAAATTTCATCATTTTTAAATTTAAGCAGGAAACATTTTCCCATGAGTCTCTGAGTTATATTTTGCGATGGTTCCTTATTATCATGGACAAATTCAGACCATCTAGTTTTCTTTTTGGGTCAATTTTTGGCTTTTGGTCACTTTTCTTTCTTTTTGGTAGAATACCATCTACATTTTTTTTGGTAGAATACTATCTGACACCATAAGAAATGGTGTCATTCTCATACTTTTCTGCTTGTGTAGTTTCTTGTACAGAATTTTAGTTTTCATGGATTCATTTTCATGTATTTTTTTTCAGATTCTTTGCCATGAATTGCCATAATTTTTCGGTTTTTGTTGGTTTATTTTGCCTGTGTTTAAATACAGGGTTGTTTACCACATATGACATGGAGTATTGTAGCTAAGCGATTAGATTTTTACAAATTGTAAGTTTTGGATTCGTTGAAGGTCTATTAGAGCTACAGTTTAAAAATATTTTTACAAGATACAGAGTATCCCAAATAAGTAAAAAATATTATAGTAGTTGTATTTTTTTAAATGGAACACCTTGTATATTATTTTATTTTTGGATTCTACGATTGAAATAAAGGTAAATTTGATTAAGGTTTATCACACTTAAACCTTACCGTTTTTGAAATATTTTCAATTTTATGAAATTGCAGTAAAAATTTTAAAGCTTTATTTCTCCCAGGGTAAGTTTTTAATACTAAATATTTACTGAAGATTATTTATTGATCAGATATTGGTGTTGCAAGAATAAAAATTTTACTACCTTATACAGAGTGCCCAAAAATTTATATTAAATAATTACTAGCTTTAAACGGCAATAACTTGTTTAATTTAAATGGAACACCCTATATATCTTACGTGAATCAGATTCACAATGTAATTGTCTATCAAATTGTATTAGACCATTTTTTACTCATCTCTTCAAGTTTTCGTAGAAAATGCATTTTCTTATAATTTAGACCTCATTTATCACTATACCCATGGAATATTGACAATAAGTCCATATTTGCTGCATTTGATCATCGATACTACGCAAGCGCACATCGGCGATTTTGCCAAATTGCAGTTTATTTTCGAATTCGCAGATTTTATGATTCGCAATTTAAATGTTTTTTTGAGTGTTAATCAGTAATAATACAAATTCTATAATTAATTTTATAGTTTCAGATTTATCTTGATATCAAAAATTAAGGTAAGAAGGATAATGGAGATTGTGAAGCTAAGGTAGGTATTATGATTGTAATCGGAGTTGTAAGTAATGTAATATTGTAATAATAATATACTATTTATTTATATATTTTTACATTTGAATTAAAAATTCAAATGTAAAAATCAATCATCATTCATTTACGGATTTTTTCTTATTGGTTTTAAACCTATTATTTTTTAAATAAGATTTGTTTTTTAATAATGATATTTTATCTAAAAAAAAACATTGCAGGTTTGGGGTGTAAAATTCAGTTCCGGATAATTCGAAAATTTTATCAGTTTCAGAAGACAAAAGTATTGTAATATATAGTTGTCCTAAGTAATAAATGCTTTTTATCTTAATTTGTACTTATTAATATAATAAATGCTTTTTATCTTAATTTGTACTTATTAATATATTTTTTCTTGTAAATAAAAGATTTTTCAGCTTAATTAAATTTCAAATTTGAACATTGTGACGCCAAAAGTTGAACAAATACATCCGGTAAGCGCTGTCAACGTTGAGTCAAGTTAAAGACTTATGAAGTTATTTTTTATATAATTTATCTCATATTTCTTACTATTTAAATATATAGAATTAGTTTCATATTAAACTAAAGGATATTTATTGAATAAAAACACTTGTTTCTTAATAATTTATTAAATATATTAAAGAAATGCATGATTTTATAGTTCATCTATGGAGGCTAGAAGCTTCTAGCCTCCATAAGTTCATGTTCATCTAATTATGTGCGTACCTGTGGTGCGTACCCAAAGAAAAATTATAATATTCTTTGGCGTACCAGATAATTTCAATATAAAATAAGTTTTGTATGATATTTTATACTGGAGGGAATAAATACAAATAAACACAAATCATTTAATTAATTTAAGAAGCATATTCTACTGAAATTTTAATAACCATCCATGTTTATTAAAAAAAGTTAAAATCCAGGCATCAAAGAGCAAAAAATACACGATCGTGATTGGTCAGTTTCGGTGGCGTGGAGGTTTTGAATTTCATTCTCGTTCGATGTTGCCGGATTGTTAAAAAATGTCGAAAATTTTTTTTTCTATGTGATTTTTGTGAAATTATATTAGTTTAAATTGATCACTAGCACTATAGTAAGGGCCATTTCTATATATTTTTAATAAAACAAGTAATGTTGTTTTGTAGAAATTTCTTTTATTTCTTCTTGTAATTACATTGTTTAATGTTATTAATATAGTCTTTATTCTTGGTTTCGATGTATTTATAGCAATAAAAATGGATTTAAACAGCTTCATTTTATGTTTATTTTATGATTTTTGTGTGTTTATGTTTATAATTACTTATTTATTTCTTATTTATGGCAATAAAAATATTTTACCTTACGTAAAAAAACGATTTCAGTGGAACGTATTGAGTAAATAATAACTTTTGAGAACGAAATTAAACTTAATTTACAAGAATTTTCCTATAAACAATTTTATTAGTAATAAATAGATTAAGTTTATGAGCAGCTTAAATTTTACGAATGACTTCAATCTGGCAACGCCGGTCCTGCTAGTCGTTTGCAATCGAAGGATCCGCACGTCCTCCCGTCGGTTGCATCGATTTTTTAAATTTTCTGACGAAAAAGTGCATTTAATGTACACAATTTATGCGTAATCTGTTACTAGTGCCCTGCTTAGCCTCCTGAAAAAGTGAGTACCCGTGATTTTATGTATTTTTTGAGATATTTTAGTTCAAAATTTTTGGATTTCGCAATATCCATCATGGCAGCCTTCTTCTCAATGTTCCCCATTAATAAGTTATTAATTTTTAAGAATATTGTTTAATTAATATACGTAGATTAATAGATAAGTATGTAGAACTATGTATTTTCGGTACTTTCTATACTGCGTGTTACATAAGGGTAAAGTAATAGTACTACATTTTTGGTAAATTACGTAATGTATCTTTGTCTTTTTGTTTAATTTTCTCGGTCAAGGAATGTTTAAATAAAATGGCCGCCTGTTGGAATTCGATGTCTTGTTTTTTTGTAAATTGCTATTTTTAATTTAAATTTCTTATTATATGGCATACTTAGGGTGCGTTTATGTTGGAGCGGCGATAAACGATAAGAGCAGCGATAGTAGCGAAGCAAAGAATATTATTATATTAATTTATATGTATGTGTTTATATTGGAGCAACGCGAGACACGCTTGGCAGTTGAGCAACGATAAGAGCAGCGCTAATTCACTGCTTTTATCGTTTATCGCAGCTCCAACATAAACGTATCCTTAGAGTTTTCTTTATTTTTTAAAAATATAATATGCTCATTTTAATAATATTTTGAATGAGTAGCTTTTTTGTATTTAAGTTTTAAATAGGTAGGTTCATTAAGAATTTTATTACGTATTTTTTTTTATTTAAGATTCCTACATATTTATGTTTCAGCATTTTTGTAATGATTTCTGATATTGGTATTTTAAAATAGATTTCTCTTTTAAAGCGCGTTATGTAATATTACATGTTAAAAAATAGCATTAATGTTGACAAATGATTTTTGCTAATTCAGTATTAGTTGTAAATTTGCATTGAAGAAATAAATCAATTGTTACTGAATTTTTATAAAAATTAAAATATTTCGAAAACAGTAAGTATGATTATTTTGAGGTAAATTTTGACCGAATGTTTTTTGTCTTCATAGTAGAAACTAAAAATGTAATAAAATATATAGGATGTCTCATTGTTAAAAAAATATAACTTTAATATTTTTATTTATTTGAAACACTGTAGGTTTAACTTTTAGCTCTAAATAATATGTTACAACTTTAAAAACGCCTTGTGTATTTTTATTTTGCGTGTTACATCATGGAAAAATTCTTTGGATTTTGACCATATTCATCAAATTTATATCTCTTTTTTCCCTAGATCATAAATATCTTTATATTTTTGACATTTTTGGTATAATAATCAAGGAACAATCTTACAAAATATTGCTGAGGTATAAATGGAGAATCTCTTTTTTTATTTAAAATAAATATACCTATTTATATTATATTGTCGTAATATTTTTATAGGTGTTCGATAATATTTTTATAGATATCCCAATATTTTTTCTTTTTTTAGGCGCGTTATATTAATACTACAACACCACACACTCCTTCCCCACTCACACGAGCATTGCTAGCTCTCTGTGTTGGTTAATAAAATTTCCTAATTCAACATTAGTGAATTTCGTTAGCCGATGCAGTTGGTTAACAGTGTTTTTGTCGGTGTGGATCCCCGGCTTAAGATGGCTCCAGAGCGCGGCGCGGCCTTCCCCAAGAGAGGAGACTTCTTGGGTCGCCCCCTAACCCTGATGTTCGGGCATCGATGACCTGTGTAGCATGCAGAGGTACCCAAGGGAGTCACCACCCTCTGATTTACGAGCTAGGTGTTCTAATGCTAGAGGCTTCGGCCGGATACAACCTGGCACCCAAGCTCCGAGATTTCTTCGTGCACGTATTCCGTGACCCTCGAAGAGGCAGGGGCGGGATATCGGACACATTGAAGATGATGAGGGGGTCCGCCTGTAGGGGGTCCCGGTGGATGTCCGTCCGACGGGTGACGAGGGTGACCCCAGACGAGGCGGCTTAATTGGGATGGGAACTGACTGGTGAGGCTTAATCGTCGACCAATGGGTCGAATCTGCATAAGGAAGGCAACCAGCACACACTCGCAGGCGGGTCGTGGAAACATTTTTTTGTTTTTTCTCTTGGTCTGCCCCGCGTCGAATTTTGAAGGCAGAAAATGTCGGTAGGAGGCGAGCATAACCAGGCCTAACTTAAACCTGTTAAAAGTAAGTCTAATTTTTTTATATTACTTTCTTTAAATTGTAAACTTTTACTGTACTCTCTACCAAATAACTTTTTTATTGGACCATATAGCAGTCAATAGTCTTTTTCTATAAGTGTTGTATATTTTAGTTTTTTTGTTACAACATACATGAGCTTCAATTTAAAGTAGAATAACTTGTATAGTAATTAGAGCAACTTTTTTAAAACTTATAGTAGATATAAGTTTAAATTCTAATTTAACTTGTAGTTACTTATATAACTAATTTTTTTTTTTTCATTTTTTTAGGACAACCCGGGTTCGCAGCGCGATTTTAAAAAACTAAAGTCAGAAACTCTATCTACATGCTGCATATGATCAGTCCCAAAAAATTTCGGATTGTTCCAGGCACCGTCGAATACCTGGAAAACGTGTTTATTGTCAACTCTACAGGATCGACCGAAGTCCATGGAGTTGGGGGCGTTCGATGTGCCCCATAGCAGTGAGACGCCACTGTTTTTTTCGCCGTATAATTATTATGGTGGGACTGAAAATGAACTTAAGCAAGATGTGATGGTGAGTTTTAATATTTTTACATTGTTTTTTTTTGTTGTCTATACCTTGTTTTTTATTTCTTCTGGCATATGTATATGTTAGAAATATTCTAATATTATTTTTTTTTCTCTTACAGGTGATACAGTATGGCTTAGAGAACTTCAAAAGTCGGTTCGCGCGTCGTGGTTCCAAAGCAGTAACTTTAGGTTCCCTACATTTACAGAATGTCGCATTAAGTACTCATTTTTTAATTTGCAATTTTTACATTTCATTTTTACTTTTTTTCTTACTCTATACAAGGTTTTAATATAAAGTTTTTTTAGCAATAATAAATGGGTAATAAAAAAATAACTCCAAAGAGACAAAATTAGGTAGCATTTCTATTATCTTTGGAAATAACTATTTTTTGTCTTATTTTAAAATTGATAATATTATTTAATTTTTTTAATAGTGATTTTTAATTAAACGTAAATTAGTAAATAATGTAATTTTACATTATGAGAATTAAAGTATTAGTAATTTATTTTTGTTACTAAAATTAAATTCAGTTTGTTCCTGCATAAATCTTTTTAGTACTAAACTGCTTTGGAATGAATTTTTTGGGGGACAACAGCAGGATTAGGGCCATCTTCTAGATGCCATCAGGTAAATTTATATAACTTTATATTTATCATTTTCTTTGACTAAAAAAAGTGTTTTTCTTTTTTTCAGGTAGGTGCGCTAGCGTAGTTTGTTGTAGCATTATATCCCTTTTCCCCCTTTTTAAAAAATGTTTGTAAGACGCCTGACGTTTGTATAAGTTAGATATATAAGTAAGAGACTTGGAAAATAGAAAAGGACAGAGAAGATGGAAGAGGATTGCTTTGAAATAGAAGGAAAGGAGATAGAAGATGTTTGAGGAAAGGTGGAGGATTTTGTTCGCTGTAACGGAAGTTTTTTGAATGAAATTTGGAGCAACTGTATTAAGGTAATTTTTTTCATCTACTTACAAAAAATAAATACTTATCACAACTTTTATTTTTTTATAGATGTTATTGGTATCTTGGACATCAAGTTTCATTTATTTATGTATTATACAAGCATATCTATTGGTGGAAATGTAGAATGGCAGCTGTTATAACAACTTGGATGAATTATTAGAAACATCAAAGAAGTTTTGACATAATTTAAATTGGGAAAAACGTCACAAATGACCAATTTATTCTACAGTAGATACAGGACATTAAATTGACTTCAACAACGCAGATATCTCTCAAAAATGGTAAGTTTTTTTCACATTATTTTCTTTCCTATTAAAGGTTTTGGAAAGCTTGGAAGTTATGACATATTTTACACATAATGTGTATATTTCAATAACTGTAGGTGCAATATTTAATTTTAAATTTATTAGGCGAATTTTTTTATTCAAATCAACTTAATTTTGTATTTTGCCTATCTATATTGATATTACAATGTTTTCTTATCTACATATATAAAATGCTAATGTTTATCTGTGTCGTCTCTACTGAAGTAACGACTTGCTCTAGAAAGTTGCTTTTGTACTAAAAGATAGCTAATTGGCTCTTCTAAAAACTGTCTTCGCGGGATTTTTTGTTTTTCATTTAATTAAAAAAAAGTAAAAAGTTTTTTTTTCTGATGTCGTGGCGGATGCGCCAGACTTCAACTTGTTTATTTTAATTTTCTACATTGATACAAATTAATATACTTATTAATATTTGTTTATTTTTTTATTTTTAGATATCTGTTCGAGTGATGTACTGAGCGTTAATAGTTGCTGTTACAAATCTGCAAATGAGTTACTACTGTATATAAGTTGGAGGAATGCCAAGGAATTTTTTGAATAAAGTGATACTGAAAATCTTACCCACAAATGACAATTTTAAGATACAATCAATAGTATTTGGATTGATTGGCCTTCATTACCGTTGCGCTATGAAAATGGTAAGTTATTTTTATTATTTTATTATTTTTTAAGACTACAATTTATGTATTTAACTACAAAATTGTAGGCTTTAAATTCAAAATAAAATAAGTTTGAGATTGAAAATATATTAATATATTTTTTCAATCTCTGTAGTTATTTACAAATTTGTATCAGACAATTTTAACTTGTATAATATACTAGTTAAAATATGTTTTCTTTTTGTAAAAATCTATGAATATTTGGTAATATTTTAAAGAGTTACTATTGCGTTGTATTTTTTTAATATTTACATAAAATATTAAAAAAAATTCATATTTTTCAATATTCAAAGATGTGAGGAGAAATTGATGTTATAAAAATGTATTTATTTATTTTTTCTATTTTTAGTGGGCTGTACAAATTGATGTTAGTGGACGGTTTTGATAGCTGCTGTTCAAAAGTTCCATTTTTAATGGAAAACCTTTAATGGACACAGAAAAATGCCATTTACTGGATTGACTTCGACACCTGTTGCCTTTTAACAATGGTAAGTTATGTCATCAACTTATTCTTATAAAATTTCATTAGAAAGCTTGAAAATGCTGAAAGTTTATTAAATTTTCCATCATATTCAAGCTTTTTTGTTCAAATCTTAACAGGTCCTAGTTTTGTATTGTTTTGTGATAAAAAAGACTGTTAAAGGAGGATAAAATCAAACACAGACTGTATGACTCGTTGCATACAAGTGATTATACATAAAATATGTAATATAAAATTATTGCATTGTTTTTAAATCGATTTTAAAAATAATTTTTTAAAGTTTCTAGCAAGATAAACGCATTTTTTTATACTAATAAAACGGTATTAAAACTTGACCGGAAAACTAATATGTATAATTCTGTTTTTAATTAATATTAGGGTCCAAAAAAATAAAAAGTTATGGCCAGTTAAAGTGGAAAAAAATACAATGCTAACAGTGTTTTACTGGTTGCATATCTTTAAATTTATTTGAAAATTATTAAAAGTTATCTCCAAAATAACGCAATAAATTTACGAGTTATTACTAAATATTAATTTTTTCTTTTTCTATATATCTAGCAAATTAGATATTTATTTTTTGGATTATTATTAACTCATTATAATAATGTTTTATTTTCTTATCAAGGAATTTTAGAATTTTTTATATGATTTCTGAAGTTCTCAATAAAAGTTTTTTTTTTAAATTTTATATGACTCTTTATAACTTATTCAAATTAATATAAAAAATGTCTATTATTTGTTTGTTATGTTACATAGTTGTAAATATTAACATAATTTATGTTATTGTCTGTTTTCTGATAGCTTCAAAAATTGCTATAATAAAAAATTACCTAATATTTTTTTTTATTTAGGCATACGATAGGACAATTGCTATTAGAAACCGATAAGACATACTAGCTGCAAATAATATGTATGGTGGTCATAAAAGAGATTTAAATGGAATGAAACTCTCTCTCTCTCTTGTGCAGAAGAAATCAAGGAATACCATTTTGAACTGCTGTTACTTGCTAGCTGTTAGAGGGGATCCAGTTCTTCATCAATGTAAGTTATTGAATAATTGGTAATCTATCTTATAAAATTTCATTAGACAGCTTCAACATTTTTTAAATATATACAAGCGCTTTTGTTCCAATATTAGAAAAGCCAACAACTATTAAAAATAGACAGGACAAAATAAAATGCTGATACTGTATTACTGGTTGCATATTGTTACGGATTCTGTTTGTCCACTAATTTAAACCAGAGAAATAGAAGGGATAGAGAATGAGCTTCAACATGCGCGGAAGGTCTAATCAAGTTGGGCGCCATATTCCAGGTCTCCGTGTCATTTTGTATATAGGTGGTAATCTATAAGTAATCAAATATCAATTTGCTGTTTTCAACCATACGGGGGGCAATTTAAATTTAGTGAAATTCTATCGCATTTCCTACATAAGTCTATCCTTGTTGGAGGTTTGACTAAACAAGGATGAACTTATGTCTTAAAACCATTCGACTCGATTTTCTGTCCTTCAATACTGGGACGTAAATCCTCTCATTACTCTTATGGGGAGGCCGTCGTATATTTTATTTAAACGTATTTCATATACACACAACTTATTGCAGATTACAACACACAATTAACTGTTTAAAAAAAATCCTTCGCCAAATTGTCAACATTCGCTATTCAAAACTCTTTGGTTTAAAATTACGGAACTCGTCACACACACCTTGACGATATATTAATGTTCCCACTAGAATAAACGCAATAAATATATACATATTTTAATAAATATAATTTTGATTAATCTTTTTTGGTTTTGTTTTTATTAATCTTGTTTTCAGAAATCTTCCAAAATTAGTATAATACTGTATAATATATAGTCTGTTTTTTTTTCTCATAGGGTATATACAAATTATTAATTTAAAAAACATAGTTATTGCATTAATAAAAATATATTTATTTTAATTTTTACATAGATCGTTTTATTCATTTTTTTAATATTATTTTTATTTTATTTTTTAGATATCTCTGCATTTTCTTAACAATGGATATCAACAGTTTCTCCTACTCCTCAGTTTCCTCTTTCTCTCAACATAAAGCAGACTCAATACTCCTCAATGCCTCACCAAGGTTCGTTAGCTTCATTAATAGTATTATTGTTTCAATAAATTTGTTTATTGGTTTTTATCTTCTTACTATATAATTATATCAGGCGTCATTTTAATGTTAATTTTTTGTAAAATTTTGATAATCTGGATAGAAACTTTTTTTTCTTAAGCTTTTGCAATATAAAACCTATAGGACGAATAGGACCATTATCTCTGTTGATATTGTCTTTATATTTATGCTTTGTGTTGCCTCTAGTTTGAGGAACGTTTGATTAATTTTAAATCATTCAAATCAATGCAATAATCTTTATGGAGGATATGTTGAGCAACATGATACTAATCTGTTATAATTTTTCATCTCAAGCTTTTTTTCAATCTCACCTATCTTATATTTACTTCCATTAGTTCAACCTGGTTCAAGCATTAAATTGTTATTTAATAAAACTATATTGTATTCTGGATTTCGTCAAAGGTATTTATTAAAAGATTTCATCAAAGGTATTTTTTAAAAGAATTAAAAAACAATCTTTATAGGCTTGTATCATTTCCAATTTATTTTTATCTTGTATTATTTATATTTTCCTAAGCTTCTCTAAGTTTATTCCATATTATCAAAATTATAAATTTTATACTTGCGCAGCTGCGTCACTATAGCCCTATGAACACAAGTATTATTTTGGTTTTAAAGTTATGTTTTTTAATATTTTATTTATTGTATTAACGCAAAACTAAATTTTATAGAATTTAACTAACTATATCTTCAATCGGATGATAATTTAATAGTTAATGGTCAATTTAATAGTTTTTTATAAAAATTAAATGTGATTATTGAATACCAATGTCAAGCCAGTAGAAATTATTTATTAGTGTGTATTTTTTTTTGAAACAATTTTTACTAAATCAATTTTGGATACTTGTGTTCATATAGTTTTTTTTTGCTTTTGAGAATTATTTTTGGTACCCTAACACAGATGTTTTTAATCAATTTATATGATTTTAAAACATTTATGTTTATATCTATTTTGTACTTAAATTTTAGTGATAAAGTTTGTTTCTTTAACACAGAGAGCAATGCACTTCACGCATTTTCTTTTTTATGTGCACAATTTTCTTTATATACAGTATGTCCTCAGAACGTCTTTACAAGAGCAAAAGCTTTTTTTATTAACATTTTCATAAAAAATACATTCTTTATAAACATATTTTTCTTTTTAATATTTTCATTTCAATTTTTTTAACAAATATATTGTGAGCACACATTTTAAAATTATTTTTCATAGATATACTGTGCGATTCAAGTATATTTATACTAAATTTGTTTTTTTTAATGAATTTTAACCTTTAGTATTACTGGTTGTCTAATCGATTCTTATGTAATCTTATGTATGTGGTAATGTTCTTATTATTTAAAAAAAATCTTATTTCCAGTAGTAATTTTTTATCTCAATTTTAGTATTTAAAATGTCTCTATCTTGTCATATTTATTTAACATATCTATTAGACCTCTACTCAAACTTTATCTCCTAAAATTTATGAATTTTATATATGAAAATGGTCTGCTAGGGTATATAATATATTTATTGTAGGATCAGTTGAAATATCATAAGTCATAATATAAAAATTAACATTTGTATATACATATTTGTTAAATATATAATTTTAAGATAAAACACATTTTTACACAAAAATAATAATTCTAGTTTTATATTATGTGGCATATCTTTTTTCAATTGGTCCTTCAACATTTAAAATCTTTTGACATAGATTTCATTCCACTTAAATGTCACAAAAATATATATTTTAATACCAATTTTGTATGTTATTTGGTGTATTAGAATTTTATAAATATTGTTTTTAATATTTTGTTAATAATAGTTGTCTCTGAAAATAGTGATCTATAGCTTACCTTTGCTATCTGTAATAGGAAATATTTCTAAATATTTTTTGTTGAAAATAAATATTACTTTATAACATTTATTAAGCAAAATAAATTTGAAATCCCTATTATTATCAAAGAGATATCATTAGAGTGTTTCAATACAATATCTTTTTTTTTCAAACGTTACAAAACTATTAATTTTTGTGACATGATGACAACAAAGATTGACATATTTATAAAAAAGTATTTTTTACCCTTAAACACAAAAGTGCAAAAATTATTATTGAACTGTCATTAAGTGTCTTACAACATATTACTTTTAAATATTTTATATTTTTTGCAACGTTTGAAATTGTTTAACACATTATATTTGACGTTTGAAAAAAGAACATGTTCTGTTCGGAGTAAAAATTACTTTTAGTGTCTCGCCGCAAAAAGTATCATTTTTACTCCTAATAAAACAATATACCGTATGATCGAAAAAAAAACGGCGTTCAGTTGGCTTGGAAATGAACATCAATTACATTTCCCATATAATTTTATTTATAAAATGACAGCGATCTTTATTTCATAGCCATCGTCGACGCCTTTTTTATTCGATAATATTGTACTATTTCTGTACAAATGTAATTATCTGTTTTCTATATATTATTGTGATCTATTGCTGTATTTTTTTATAAAAATGTTTTGTATATGTACATCTATATTTTGTAAGCGTTTTAGAGATTCCGAGCACTACGTTTACAGTCATTTCTTTTTTCATTTTAAATATTTTTTTGTTGTGTCTAATAATTAATCAGCTAAATAAGACTCTTTTTTTTAGTAGGTAAAAAAGAATAAGTTATATTACCACCCATAATTACCACAGAGTAGCCCAATGTTCCAAAAATAATCATGTTAGGTCTTCAGTTTCAGATTTTCACTGAATGTTTTTTATAAAACATACAGGAAGGATTGTAGATTTTTCCTGTACATTTTTAAAGCTTTCACAAATTTATAAAGTCGTATTTTTTTTAATTGAAAATATTTTATTTAACATAAGATCAAAACAAATTATACTAAAATACTTTATATGTTGATAACTAAATATATTATAATGTCTTTCTCTGCTATTTAAATAAAACACCCTTAATTTTATAATAATATACTTTATAAATAACAAAATTGTGGCATTGTGAATATTTAGAAATTAAATATATTCCAGATATTTGAAAGTAGAATATATTAAAAAAATTATGCTTAAGTAATTACTACTTCAAATTACTCGACACAAATAAATTACATTAAATAACATTCTTATGAGCTGATACTGTTGTTTTGTATGCATCTGGCAAGCTTTTTCTGGAATAATTTATTTAATTAGGACTTATCAATTATCTGAACGAATTTTAAGGCTGTAAACTGTAGTTTTGGCATCTTTAAATATTTAGTCAGTGATGGGATTTAGATTTGTAATTGTGTAATGATTAATCCACCACTGTACTCCAATAGAAAATTGCGTAAATTAATTATATAAAGCTCATGTTACATAGAAAAATCATCTGAAAATAGTTATCTCAATTTCTTTAAATTTTAGTATAACTGGTTGCCTAATCGATTCTTACTCATTCAAACACCTTAAAAGTTGAAACAGTTAAAATTTGTACAATAATTAATATATTTGTTTATTACTTTCTAAGAAAGTATTGCTTCAAATATCAATAAAAAAAATCGTTTAAATTACTACAGGGTGGCTCAGTGTTAAATAAACTAGGTGTTCTATTTGAGATTTTCACTTCAATCTTTTTATTACAAAATATGCCGGTAATATTAGAGCACATATTAAAGCCATTTAAAATTTCAGTTAACTAGAAGTTTACTTTGTTATTTAATATGTTTTTTATTTATTTATCAACTATTCACTTCGATTTTTTTTGTATAATTTTAATTCATACGATGAGCAATTAATTAATTTATGCAATTTTAATTTTATATTAGTTTAAATGGAAAATAAACAACAAACCTTATAAAAACTTCCATTTTTAAAATGTTTATTTAAATTGTAATCAAGGAAAAACTAACGGCTATGCTCTAAATTATAACGCAGTGTTTGGTATACTCATGTGAATGGTATTTGTCACTTCCTCATGAGTGGAATTTTCGGTCATTTCATCATTTCCACTTTGTGTGCTTTATTGAAAGTATTGGCGCTTGCTAGGAAAAGTTTATCAATCAATAATGTTGTACAGACTGTCCAATTGAGTTTTCTCGCTCATTAGTAAGGATAGGACATAGCGATTTTTATAAATTTGATTTTTATGAAAAATAAAATTTCTCCCCTTTTAGTTTCTATGATACAGGGTGATTTTGAAAATGTTACAGTTTCAGATACATCTCCTATTTCAATAGTCTGACAACATATCAATACATTTCAACATATTGCTATGGAACTTCTTTTTTAATTTCTTTAAATAATTTAAATAGTTTTTTTAAATATCGACCAATGTTTAGTTTCTATTAATGGGACAACCCGTATATTTGTCAGGAAATTAGTGTATCTTCTCACAAGCCACCATAAGTCACAATTTTTAATTAGAGGTAAATTCTTCTTTATAGTTTAAACTTTTCATTTAAAAATTAAATAGATCAAAATTGGTTTCGCCAATTAAAAGATAATAGCAGCATTGTTTTGGTATGGTCCTATGTAACTTTTTATTTGTATTATTTTAAAATTAATTCTGCAGCTTTTAACTAAAATATACTGTTACATATATTTTAAACGCTTGTGAAGGAAGATTATTTTTTTGACAAGTATACAGGGTGTGTGATGAAAATATTAAGAAAAAACTTATTCTTATGCCTCTGGTTCCACCTAATATGTTCTAAGTATACAGGGTGATTTTAACCTATACGCATAAAGTTGGGAAATTATTGCTGATGACAAATAATGACTAATAAATGAAAAAAAAAGTTACTAAAATATATTTATTTACGGAGATAACAAACTATTTGAAATAAAAATAAAAAACGTAAATTCCATTAAATTGAATGTGCATTTACTGATAAAGTTGATAAATTTTTGTGAAAAAAAACTCAAATTATTTCAGAATCTAAAAATATTTTACTAACATTTTTTTTCATTATTAGTCATTATTTGTCATCACCCAAGTTTATGCGTATAAGTTAAAAATCACCCTAATAAATCTGTTTTTATTTTTTTTCAGACTACTGATATAATATGAGGTGAGTGTAAAACTGCAACACATTGTATCATGGAAACTACGAGGGCCATGACAATTTTGTGTACTGTATCTTTGCTTTCAAGAAAAAAATAATGGGTTCATTTAAGTAACGAGTTCGACATTTAGTATTATTTACTAATAAGCGAGAACGCCCTTAATTGCAACTAAATGTGGAAATGACATGTTTTATAGTGTTTCTCCCTTATGAACGGAGATAGGAAGTAGCGGTTTTCGCACTGGCTACTATTTTTTTATAAAATACCCTACGGTCCGAATGACGATGACAATTTTTGCGAACTCAAGCCCTAGACTTCATTTTCTTGGCCCGTCCTCTTCTTTATTGTTTAATGGCGCTTACTGCCAGTTGCCCTTAAGAAGGTTGTAATTTATTTTTATATTGAGTAAAAACTATTTTTAAATGGCATAGTTTAAAATTACAGGAAAAAAAATATTTTTTGGAAATAGATTTGTGTGTCTAGAACCGTTCTATCCTTTTTTATTCTTTCTATAATTAGCTATAATTAGTGTTAATATTGAAGTTTTATGTAAAATTTTACTAAATGACGTCTAGAGATTGGCCTCGCCAAAATTATCATCGATTGTCATTCCCCAGACGCCTTTCACGTAGCTTTTTACTTTTTTTAAATCACATGTTATAACCTTCTTAGTTTTTGAGCTACAGAATGATTTTGATAAATGCTTTTAACCGTCCCTTGTATTCAGATATAAAAACTTATTGTAAATGTAAAAACATAATTCAGTGTAACGTTCTTTTCAAAGCAAATGTTTTTATCTTAAAAAGATATGTTCATATTTTTAAATTTAAAAAAAAAACCAAGCCAACTATTGCGAAAATCTCAACTTTTTCTCTATCTACGCTCCTAAGCTAGAAACTCCCTAAAGCACGAACGAATGAAATTGATACACTCTGTACAGGTTAGCAATTTACTTTGTCCAATATTTAACAGACTATAATTAGCAGTGGTGTAAACACTGGACTAAAAAAAATAGTTTCTTTTTTTAGGCCAAAGAATAAAGCTAAACCTTTTTAAAAGCGAAATGAAATAAAAGCTAATACTATACAGAGTGTCCCATTTTGGTAGCAAATGTGGTATTTTTCGCTTTATTAATAAAGATCCTTACTACTTCTTTGTAAAATTTAATGTGCCAAACAAAATTCTCGCGGCCTACTTTGTTTTCCTGCTACAGGATGTTACTCAAAATGCAATTTTTTTTCTACCCTGCGTATCTCAGTTTTCTGATAAGAAGTTGAATTATTTCTTCTGGTAAGTACATGCTCTAGCGGAAATCAAAACGGGGAGAGGAAACACACGAGATTAATTGGTATGAGCTGTAGTAAGGAGCTTGTGTGTCTGTTTTCGCTGTTCTGCTCTCCGCTCCTGTATATGCTTAGCTTTATACTTTATGTGGAATCCAGTGTTTTATGTGAATCCAATTAGTTTTTTTCTTAATATTTCTATTTGTGAAATATCGACCATTGTTTTTTTTTAAATAGCTTCATGTGTATTTATCTAGAAATTAATTTGTCTTTTTACAAGCTTCCAAAAATTCATTTTATGTTAGCCTCCTAAATATTTGCCATGCACACAATGCTGCCCCTTGACTGTCATTATATGATTATATGTTTTTTCTTTATTTTCTTTACTGTGTATTTTTGAACGGCGTTGATTAATCCATTCAAATGGTTTATTTAGTTCTTATCAAATATACAGGATGTCTTATTTAAAAATTAACTAAACATGGTCTTGATCATAGGTCTTGATAGATAAAAAATAAGCCCGCGGATTCTACGTAAAAGGTTCTATTTTAACGATTCGTCTACATGTTATGCTAACGATATACGAGGGGTGTATGAAATGCAGTCTTCTTATTCTTCTTATCGTCCTGTAGCATGGAAATTAAGAAGGCTATGTTGATTTCGCTTAAAAGTAACTCAAATTTACACAAACCGCAAGATTCAATCTTTACTAATCAAAATATGTAGTTTGGAGCGTAGCGTTTAGAGTTAACGGCGTTAGAGTTTTGGGTTGATGGCATTTGATTTTTGGGTCGATGACATTTAATTTTTATATAAAACATCATCGATTGCCATTTTCAAGCCAACGCTGACGCCTTATTTTTGCGATAAATTTTA